AAGTTTTAGTCAGGAGGCCTTTTTATAGGTTCTGACTGGAAATATTTGACAGAGATTTTGACGATGGTTTATTGCAACAAATTTCGGAAGTTGCATATGAGGATGAACCCAAACATATTCTTTCTCCTCCTGATGTGAGCCACTACTGGGTTTCAGAGGTTAGTGAATAATATAAACCCCACCCCCCCCCCCCCACCCGACCACCCTCCACCCTCACCCCACGCACCAGTTATAGGTTAGAGGTTTGTTTACTCCCTCCGTTTAAGTGTCGTTTTGGGTTGTTGCATACATATTAAGAGAGCTAATAAATATGTCTGGATTTAGGGAAAAGCATATAGTGCGACTAAATTAGCCATGTCATTAATTTTATTTGCGTTAATTCTTTTCTCAACTAATGAAGAGGTAATAAGCAAAATTTGGAAAACAATAATTAATGCGCAATTGGAATTCTAAAGTGACAGAAAATACGGTACAAGAAAAATTCCCAAAAGCGACATTTAATTTGAAAGGGAGGGAGTATATCGGGTGGTGATTTTGAGATCATAATCATCTTGTTGCTAATTTGTTCCTTCCATTTTTTATTGCTTAGGATGATCCTCCAGCGAGCAATGGAAACAAAGGTTTGACTGGTCACGATGGAATGGCGGATGCCGAGGTTGAAAGAAGATTAAAGGTAAACGTTTCCGTGCATTGCTGATATTAGGACTTGGATTTCTATTTATGTTGACAAATATAAAATTTCAGGATGGATTATCGGCTTCTTCAACTGCTCCTAATAAGCCAATAATGCATTTAGATCCAAGAATTGCGTCGGCTATACAGCGCTCTGTACCGTCGTCCTCTCTTACAGTTCATATACCAACCGTACAACAACCATCAATGCCTTTTCTTGGCCAGCAATTACCTCAAGTCACAACACTGCCGAAGCCCAGACAAGCAGAGATAAACGTACATAGTAGTTCTCCTGCATTGGAAGAAGGTGAGGTACTAGAACCCGAATTAGACCCCGATACAAGAAGGCGACTGCTTATCTTGCAACACGGTCAAGACGTGAGAGAAAGTCCTCCGAGCGAGTCCCAGTTTCCTGCTCGGCCGCCGCCCATGCAAGCACCTACCCCAAGAGCTCCCCCCCATGGCTGGTTTCCTATTGAAGAGGAGATGAACCCGAGACAAGTGAACCGGGCGGCACCACCAGTTGATTTTATTGCGCAGCCTCCTTTTCCTGTTGACAATATTCGGACACTTCATCCACCGTTTCTTCACAAAATGGAGGCTGCCATGTCGCCGGGCAGAGTTCTTGAAAACCAGAGGTTGCCGAAGAAGGTAAAACTTGGTATATTTGTGTTCGTGCTGTTGGCTTTCGTGGTTGACAAGTCTGCTGATTTTGAAATGGTGTCTCTATATGTATATATATGCAGGAACTCCCACGAGATGAGTTTCTAAGGTTACCTCAACCAGTACCGGATTATCATTTTTTTTCTGGTAAGTGATGATTATAAAAATTAAAGCTATGCCAGAACCCTGCAGCTTTATTACCATGATTCTTGTTGGAATTTGTATTTATTACACACATAATCGCATTAAAGGTCCATCCATGTATCCGTTCGTAGACAATTTGAAATAGCTGTCTGAGCAAAACTCTCGATGATTATGTTCCACTCAATTTATTCTACTGTATCATATCTCAAGTAACTGTTCAAAAGCAAATCTTTATCCAACTTCATTCAACAGACGTAGTGGTAATAAGGTGTGTTCCGATTTTTAAGGTGACGGAAGTACTGTGGCTCAGCTACCTTCTACGAACAAGGATCTTGATCTAGAAGATGGACAAATTGATGCCTGGAGTGAAACTTCTTCTACTGGAGTTTTAGAAGATATTGCTTTCAAGTGTGGAACAAAGGTATGAAACACGAGTCGATTTCTTCTGCTTGTTTTTTGGTGGTCCAGAATCTAACTTCCCGAGATGGCTGTCCCAAATACCTGTAGGTCGAGTTCAGACATATTCTAGTACCAAGCACCGCTCTGCAGTTCTGTGTTGAGGTGGGTTCAGATTTCCGATCTTTGAGTTTCTGTTAGTTGTCACATTCGAAAGATACCGATTGAGGCTATATAATATTGAAATATGACCATTTTATCACAAATCACAACTTTTAATCTCTCTCTCTCTCTCTCTCTCTCTCTCTCTAGGTTTTCTTTGCAGGAGAGAAAGTAGGCGAAGGAATTGGTAGAACAAGAAGAGAAGCACAGCGTCAAGCTGCTGAAGGATCTCTTTTATATCTGGCTGGTAACACACAAATACTAGCTTTCCTAATAGTTGAATGAAATAGGGATATCATGTAATTCTTTTTTTCTTTTTTCTTTTTTTTCTATGCAAATCTTATTCAATACGTATAGTTCGACTTTTAGTAAAATGAATTTATCGGCTTCTGCTTAGCTTTGTGAGTCACTATTGTACCAATTTGCGTTTGTGCATCAATTCTGGAATAATTTGGAGTCGACTTAATTATTTGCAGATAAATACTTGTCTCAGCTTCAACCTGATTCGAGCTATATGCCTAAGGAAGAGGCTGTACAAACAGCACCACTAAGGATTCGAGACCCTAGAGTAGAGGCTTCAAAGAAGTCAATGAGTTCAATCGCTGCACTAAAAGAATTAGTAAGTATCAAAATTAGGAGTAGGAATTGGAACAAATTTCTGATTTTGGAACAATATTTTGCATTTGAAATTCCGATTCCGATTCCGTTTTTTGTTTGGGGGGAATTGGAACGTATACGAGATATCCAATTTTATTTCTGAAAATAATTCCATTTTTTTTCCAAAAATTAGACTTATAATATCACATTATCACTATTATCATGCATTTTATATTTTAGATGACTACAAAATTGGAATTTTCCTAATTCACCGATTCGGTTTCTGATTATTCTGATTTTCTTGGGAACAAAATTTGAATTAGCCCTTTCACTTCTGAAAAGGCTAATTCCGATCCGATCAGTCTGATTTCCACCCTAACCAAATTTGAAGAGCATGCGTCTTAATTGTTCGATTTTTAGTCCTTCGCATGATACTGATTGATTAAAATTTCTCAATTCTTCAGTGCATGAGGGAAGGCCTTGATGTAGCATACCAAACTCAATCCCAGTTTTCAGGTTTCCGGGCCCATAAGAACGAAGTTTATGCCGAGGTTAGAAATCGCTGCTCTTTTTTACAAAAATGCCACTATTCTCGATTTTATTCAAGCTCACTGCAACCTAAAATGCTTTTTGTGCTCGATTTTAGGGATTTCTTTCTGATAATTAGCAGTTTAATACTTACTAAAGCTTCAATATCTGTCTCTCCTTCCTACATCATGCTTGTCTGAAGAAAACTTTCATTTAAAATTTTACATGCTCAATTAGGACATAGAAATTCGTTTCTTCTTAGTTTTGCCTGAAAGCTCGTATGCATGTCTTCAAGAGATTCGGAGCATCTTTTGTCTCAATCTATTTGTCTTGTATGTATGTGTCTTTTGACTACAGGAAGAAATTGAACGATGATTCATTTTTGGCTAATTCTGTTTTTTTTTTCCCATTCGGCATTTTAGGTTGAAATTAACGGGCAAGTCTTGGGCAAGGGAATTGGGTTAACATGGGAGGAAGCCAAATCTCAGGTACTCGATTTTTGGCTTATAATATATATATATATATATATATATATATATATATATATATATATATATATATATATATATATATACACACGATTTTCAACATGAAACTTTCATACCATTTGTTTATTATCGAATTTCACGATTTTTTTTTAAAATTGAAAATAATACCATAGGCTGCTGAGAAGGCTATTGGTGCCATGAATTCCATGCTAGGCCAGCAGGCTCCCTACAAACGTATGGATTCTCCACGGTAAGTGATTTTGCTTCTCGATGTTTGTTCGAATAATCACGCACCAGTGTCTATTTGAGATTTTTAAGGTTTATTTGCAACCCAACGTTTAATTCATTAATTGAACATACGATAATTTAGGGTTTGAATTGTTCTGGTTCAGATCTATGCAGGGGATGTCTAGTAATAAAAGGTTTAAACCAGGATACTCTCGAGCGTTGCATCGAATGCCATCATCTGTACGCCAGCCATAAGGCGTACCTCTTTAGCTGGTATTAAAAAGAAAACGCGAGTCATTTTTTGTTCTCTGAAAAATGAGAATGGCAAAATTGTAAATAATGCCCTTGGAGCTAACGACAAAAAAAGGAAGCTGGTCGATTTTCTAGTAATGGTGAGAATCGAGATAGCTGATCAGTAGTAGTTACAACTTATACATGGGTCTTGGCTTAGTTGCTGAATTGCAATTTTGTCACAATTGTTGTATCATTTTTGATGAATTTATAAGTTGTACATGGTCTCTAATGAATTTTGCAGAGCTGAAAACCATGTTAATACAACGAGACTAGTAAAATTTTATTAATTTTGTGAAAATATTAAATTATCGAACTAATAATTTAATATGTTTTCATTGAGTCGGAATCATAAGAAATTATTATGTAAGTGAGATTATTATTCAAGCATTTAATATCTTCCGAGGCACTGCTTTGAATAGTATTGATTTATAATGTCAAATAATAATAATAATAAATCCTTAAAAAAATAAATTCCTAGATATTAGGCGAACTTTCACACACAATATCTCCTCCTACAAAATAGGTTACAAAATTGTTAATGTTTGACAAAGATCTTTCTTAACGAATACTCTACGCTAGTCAAATAATTACCAGGATTTAGCTGAATTTGAATTTTATTAAAAGAATAAATAATATATATTTAAAAATTAAAATTAAATTACTTGAACTCAGACGTAAGTCTAAATAAAAGTTCGCGTGTAGTGTTCAACGACCGAAATTAATTAGAAATAAATTAAAGTAATTTCCCTTTCTGTGGATGGTAAATTGGTAATATAGGGACGACATTTCAACAACGCACACATACAGACAGATTTGTATACTGAAACCAGAAAGAGAGAAGAAAATCCAACTTTGAGGAGAGAGAAATCGGACTGTATTTCGAATTGGAAGAGAGAGAAGAGAGAGAGAGAGAGAGAGTGATAGAGAGAGAATGGCATCGTTCGACGCGTATAGCGTGGACGGCGACGTGTCGACGCCTCCGTTTGGGTACGACGATTCGTACGCCGCTTTCTCCTCCGCCGACACTCCGCCTTACTCCGGCGCCGGTTACACTGCGGAGTACGGGGAGTCGGAGCAGCTGCCGGTGGATCACGTGGACAGTTCCGATCCGTTCGGAGTCGGGTCGAACACCGAGCCTTTCGGATCCCCCGATTCGGTGCCGATCTCGAACGGCAACGGGAAAACGCCCTATGACATCAGCAACGATTCCGAGGGAATATTCAGCTCCGACGGACCGATCCTTCCGCCTCCTGGCGATATGCAGGAAGAAGGATTCGCTCTTCGCGAGTGGCGGCGGTGAGATATTTTTCTCTTGTTCGTTCTATTTACAGTCGGATCTAACTTAATTTTAATTTATGTACTAACTTATTTATTATTAATTTTTTATTTTTTTTAAATTTCGTCGAGATCTCTTGCTTGATTTGTGCTTGATCTCATGGTTATTAATTAATTTTTTGTTTAGGGAGAATTGATCAGTTCTTTGTGAAATCTTAGAGAGAGAGAGAGAGAACATGGCTTGAGAAATCTAGAATTTCTAGGTGTATATTCCTTGTTGACTATTTGATGAACATAGTTTGACTTGGATAGTTAAGATGTATGTACTAAAATCTAGCTTGATCTCATGGTATTAATGACCATTAGTTTAATTCTAAGCTAAACTAATATGTAGAATCTATGTGTTGCATTCGATATTGTTTCCTCGACATCTCCGTCAAAACTTAGATTTTATTGAGGATCGATTGAATTTAATTTGGTCATTAGTATTAATTACAAGGAGAAATTATTCCTCGACACACACAAAGCCATCGTATGCCTTATTTCGAGAACTTGATGGTAAACCTAGAGAATAAAGGTGACCACTATCTAGGGTTTCACATCAATACGCGATAGTACGTTTTTGAATTAAATAATATTATAGAATTCATGTAATTGTGGCTATCTGAAATTGAAACATTTGGAACCTCATGTAATTATGGGTGTAAGAAGAAATTTAATTTAATTAGTTCATATTGCTTCATAGATCAATCATTTTTTGTTGTTTGCTTGAATTGCGCCTTTTGGTCGATATTTGAGTTTAACTATGGGATGAAGCTATTATATGTATGTAGTCTTTTGAAATATGTTCTAATTGCTTCCATATACACTTTGACATTTGACCACATTTAGTTTCGATTTTTAATATTTTCTTATTTTTGCTATCGGTTTTCTGTGGAAATGAAATATATTTGGATTAATTGGTGTAGGGTTTAAGATGGGACTGAGATAGTTTGGTCCACACCTAACAAAAATATTCTGAAAACACGAGAAACGAGCTTTAAATTGTCTTCAGTAAATAGAGAGCAAACTAAACGGATCTTGTGTTCTTGAAATTCTCGACAATGTGAAAGATGAAAAAGAAACCAGATGCCCTATGTTTTTTCTCTTCTGACCATGAAGAAATGTTTTGCATCAACATAAAACTCGTTTTTCTCATTTAATCATAGCTAAGAATAGCTAACTGAAGATGACTTCCAGCCATAGATGTTAATAAAACTTTATCTTATTTGTTCAACTTACGGTTTGAATGAATGAACCGCTAACTGAAGCATGATAACTTTTTTCTCGCTCCATTATGATTTATGCATGCAGAATAAACGCCATTCGTCTCGAGGAGAAGGAAAAGAAAGAAAAAGAAATGCGAAACCAAATCCTCGAAGAGGCTGAAGAATACAAGCAAGCTTTTTACGAGAAAAGAAAGCTTAACGTTGAGACCAACAAAACCAACAACCGGGAGAAAGAAAAGGTTCAATTCCTATTCCCACACATTTGAATTTTATTTTTAATCACCTTGCATAATATTACGTGAATAAAAAATAAAAGAAATCATTTGACACATTTCCGATGTTATATCAAACAGTCATCCTTGGCCAGTCAAGAAAAATTCCACAAAGAGGCCGACAAACAGTACTGGAAAGCCATAGCAGAGCTCGTTCCAAACGAGGTTGCAAATATCGAGAAAAGAGGAAAGAAGAAAGATCAAGACAACAAGCCATCTATTACAGTTGTACAAGGCCCTAAACCTGGCAAACCAACGGATCTTTCTAGAATGCGCGGAATCTTGGTGAAGCTTAAGCACAAACCCCCACCCCACATGATACCACCCCCACCCCCACCTGCTCCTGCTCCTGCTCCTGCCAAGGATGGCAAAACCGTAACAACCGCACCTAATTCAACGGCAAAAGAGGGGCCCGCAAAAGATTCCCCTCCGACCGGTGCCCCACCACCACAAGCATCGGAAGAGGCTAGTGCTCCTATTGCTCCTATTGCTCCCGTAAATGACCAGCCAAGTAGCTAATGCTGTTAAGTATCTTTTTATTTTCCGTAAGCTTTTGTCTCTCGATTAATTTTTTTTTGTACTTTATTTTCGTTTCTTCGGACTTGCTATTTTGCAATCAGCATCGATGTTCAGAGATACTGTGGCTGGATGGATCTTAGCAGTAGTATGTTGAGCTTAAACTATATTCATGTTTGTGTACTATTATTATTAACTTGTTTTGAACATATCTTGTTATTTTAATCTTATTCTGTGTTACTATTATTATATTATTATTATAGTTCCCTTTTAATTGTGATGTTATAGGGCCTATTTATACTTGGATGTAGGAGAAAATCAAAAGAAATAAATAAAAAAGAAAAATCAAATACTTCTCAGTAAGTATACTATTGAATTTGGCAAAATTTAATACAAAATGTTTAGTTATTTGAGTTAGCTTTTTTATCTAACTCGAGTTATCAAGATTGAATGACGGGTGAAAAAGATAGGCTTGAATCGATGAACACTTCCCACTGCATGTTTTGGATTATATAAAATTCAAAATGTAACTGATTCATGCGTAATTTTGTCGCCCGACATCCAATCTAGTCGATTAAAATTCAATTAGTCTTAAATGACTATGATTAGTGTATTTTGAATTTTGGTTAAACCATAATAGAAAATGGTCATTCAATCCAGTTGATTAAAGTTCGATCAGAAAATTATCTTAAATGACTATGATTTGTGTATTTTGAATTTTGCTTAAACCATACTAGAAAAAGGTCAAAATTGCATTCAAATTCAAAATAAATATCAGTAAATTGAACGATATTTAACATTTTAGATTAAATTTAATTTTCAGGGAGGTTCAATTTTGTTACCAATACACAGAGTGCTAAAAGCGTGTCAACCATTCCCTCACAGCTTTGTTCTGTGCAGTCGGCCTGTGGGTCTAGTGTTCAACACCACCGCAGAGACCAGTCATACCACCTACTCCGGCGGCGAATCGAGAAATTATAAGGAATGAGCGGCGGCGGCGGCGGAGCAGCGCAGCAGGCGGCACACTCGCTGGCGTTCAGGGTGATGCGGTTGTGCCGGCCGACTCTCCACGTGGACATTTCCCCTCTCAAATTCGACCCCTGCGATCTTCTCTTCGGCGAGGACCTCTTCGACGATCCGATTGCCGCGTCTCACCTCCCTCGCCTTCTCAGTAGCCAATCGAATACCTCCACGTCAGATCCCTCCGATCTCAGCTACCGTAGCAGATTCCTGCTCCAGCACCCCACCGAATCTCTCGGCCTCCCCGGCCTCCTCGTGCTCCCCCAATCGTTTGGGTATATATACATATATACGCATATACATACACGTTATGAACAAATAGTATTGTTGCTCCTTTCAAGTTTGACTGCTAATTAATTGATATGTGTTTTTGCTGTATGTGAGCGTTTTGTTTTTCCTTGATTAGGGCTATATATCTCGGGGAGACATTTTGCAGTTATGTGAGTATAAACAACAGCTCCAGCTTTGAAGTTCGAGATGTTGTAATTAAGGTAAATTTTGCATTTACCTGATTGTGGATTTACTAATTATTAGTTGAATTAGGTTCATAAATTTCTTATGAAGAGTTGAATTCAATTATGTGGTTTGAGGAAAGAAGTAGGGTTTTAGATGCATGGACTGAATGCAATATATGTGGAGATGAATGAACAACACAATACACAGTAGCGCACTTTTGCAATTGAACTGCTGTTCAATTGTTTGATTTGGCGTGATTACTGAATGAATGCTGTTATCGAAATATTATTCTTCTTTCCGTTTAGACTAAATTTTCAAGTGACATGGAAATTATGAGTTTGTGGCTTTTCTAAACCATGTATGCCAGCAATTTGATTGGATGCACGTCTCTTACCCTCTTTTTTGGTATCTACATAAATGTTGATAGAGTCTGGTAGGGATGTGTGTATTTGTGTGTGTGTGCACGCTCTCCTTTCTCCGTCTCCCCGTTGTTATTTGTTGTTGCCTATTTATAAATGTATTCACTACTTGCAAAATTGCATTCAGTTTTCTTCCTTGTTTGAATTTGATTCATGTTACTTCTACGTTTGTTTGAGTTTCAAGCTTTAAGAAGAAGTTTTCCCCTATCTTTCCACATTAAAAATATTGATGAGAGTTATACTAAATTACCTATAGATTGTGTGCGAAGAAAAGCACAGAAACAAAAATCACATGTTCCAGAAGATAGATGCAAATCCATGATTGATTGTTGGGACAAATTTTGCATATTGGGAGACACTGAAATCCAATTTCTGTTACTTGCTATCACCCTAAAATAAAAAACTTACGACGTCAGTATTCTCTGTCTTTCTGTTTGCATTTCACCCTAAAATAAAAAACTTACGACGTCATATTTGATTTTCGATAGGCTGAAATGCAAACAGAAAGACAGAGAATACTGCTTTTGGATACATCAAAATCACCTGTTGAATCCATTCGTGCTGGTGGGCGTTATGATTTTATTGTGGAACATGACGTGAAAGAACTCGGTGCACACACGTAAGCTAATCTAGAAAAACAAAAGGGCTAAAAATTATTGTTCTAAATATTTTTTTGTTTACTGTTGTAGAGCTAACTCTTCTTGGATTCTGATTTTCTTTCCTCAATAGCTTGGTTTGTACTGCACTTTACACAGATGGCGATAGCGAGAGGAAGTATCTCCCACAGTTTTTCAAGTTTATAGTTTCTAACCCCCTGTCAGTTCGGACTAAGGTACTCTATTCTAAGACTTCTTCTGTCATGCATTGTGTACGTCTTGATGACTTATCCAAAATTATATATATATACATACACACACACACACACACACACACACATGCATATTACAAACATAGTGCTTTCTCTTAAGTTCATATTTGCATGTTTGCTCAATGTATCTTTAACATGAATGTAATAGTTACTCTGCTTTTTCATGCAGGTTCGCAGTGTTAAGGTATGTTGAGGAGTGGTTAACGCTTTTGGTGTGTAAGTTTATGACCTTCAAGTAATGGATTCTGTGTATGCAGTAAACTATTGATAATACTATGATGCAAGGAGGATAAAAAATCTCCAGTTATTTTTCATACTTTAGGTTGGATAACTGAGCGTCTATCATCAATATTACTCTTCATGTTAGTTTCCTGGGTGATGATAAATAATAGCAGAACTTATCATCGAATATATCTATTTTGTACCCAAAAACATAAATATGTAATTACCTTGAGCACTAGTTCACAACATTGTCATCATCTCCATGAAATTTCACCAACTTTCTGCCAGCTTGTTTGATTATCTTATTGTGGTGATATAATGGTGCATGGTGAATTTAGTGTACCAGGTTGTGGTCTGTTGGTTCGATAAATTTGTTTTTTTCATTAAGGAAGTTTTCCACTCTTCATGATAGTCATCACACTCTTCCCTCAGGACACTACTTTTTTGGAGGCTTGTATAGAAAATCATACAAAATCTAACCTTTACATGGACCAAGTGGAGTTTGAGCCGGCTCAGAATTGGACTGCAACATTGCTTAAAGCTGATGATCATTCTTCAGATCACAATTTATTGACGAGGTGGGACAGCATTACTTTGTTACTCACCATTTGGTTACAAGTATTTTTTTATGGTCTGCATATATTGTACTTATTAAATATGTTGTCGGCGTTCTTCTTCGGAAGTTCTTTACATCTCTTTTTTTCATCTTTTTTTGACAGTGAAACTTCCAAGGAACCCATTCTAATCAGATCCGGTGGCGGAATTTATAATTATCTTTATCAATTAAAATTATCATCACCTGACAGTGCACAATTAAAAGCTGACGGAAGTAAGATTCTTGGAAAACTTCAGATAACATGGCGTACGAATTTGGGTGAACCTGGTCGCTTGCAGACACAAAATATACTTGGTAATGTAAGTCAAATTTCTTGCTTCCACTTCTTATTTTAATGCAGAAGTTTTACTTCGACCTATTTTTTTATGAAAATATGTTAATCCCTAGTATCTTTTTCAAAATATCATATATAATTCATCACACAGTTGGAATCTTCTGTGTAATTGGTGTGCATATTGTTATTTTGTATGTGCTTCAATACTATATATTTGAACATTAAAAAATAAAAAATAAAAAGATTTTGAATATTTCAGCAATTCTTAGCAAAAAGCGTGTGTTATAGCATACAATTTTTTTTTTGCTTGAATATTCAAAAATTAGTAAAACAATTTTTAGATGAACTATTTCTCGAGTGTTTGTAAATAGACATCTTCTTTACTATACATTGGAGTGTTGAAAATATTCAAAAAAAAATTGTAACATTTCAGCAATTTTTTTAGGAAATAGCGTGTGATGTAGTATACATGTTTTTGTGATTTTGCTTCAGTATTCTAAATTTAGTAAAATAATTGTTAGATGAACTATTTTTTTGACTAATGTATAGACATCTCTATACTACATATTTGAGCTAGATTTTTTTTTTTAACATTTCAGCAATGTTTTGCGAAAAAACGTGTGCTAGTATATGATTTTTTGTGATTTTTACTTGACAGTTCAAAATTTAGTGAAACAATTTTTACATGAACATTTGTTGACTGTTTATAATAAATATCTTTTATACTATTAGTTCAGTGTTACAAAATATTATAAAAGTTTTAACATTTCAATGAGTTTTAGCAAAAAGCATGAGCTATATAGTATTCATTTTTTTGTAATTTTGCATGAAAATTCAAAATTAGTGAAACTATTTTTAGATGAACTAATTTTGACTACTTATAGATATACATCTTCTTTACTATATATTTGAGTGTTAAAAAAATTTGAACATTTCAATGAGTTTTAGCAAAAAGTATGAATTAGTATTCGGTTTTTTTTATTTATTTTTTTTTTTTTTTACTTGAAAATTCAAAAATCAGTGAAACTATTTTTTAGATGAACTATATTTTACTACTTATAAATAGATATCGTCTTTATTATTCATTTGAGTGTTAAAAAATGTTCAAAAAATATATAAACATTTTAGAGAATTTTTAGGCAAAAGTGTGTGCTATATATAGTATGCATTTTTTTTGTTTTCTTTCCTTCTCTATTCACAATTTAGTAAAAAAAATTAGATGAACTATTTCTTGACTACTTATGCATAAACATCTATATACTAAATATTGAGAGTTAATAACTAGGAAAAAAAAGAAAGAACATTTCAGCGATTTTTAGCAAAAAAACGTGTACTATAGTATATGATTTTTGTGGTTTTGCTTGACAGTTCATGTGAAACAATTTTTAGATGAACAATTTTTTGACTTTTTATGAATAAATATTTTCTGTTCTACATAATTGAGTGTCAAGAAATATTAAAAAAATATTTTAACATTTCAGCGATTTTGAGCCTAAAGCTTGCGCTAGTATACATTTTTTTTTTTTTGTCATTTCGCTTCACTGTTAAAAAATTAGTGAAACAATTTATGATCCATTAAATGGCTTTTATATGATTAACCAGTCAAGCATTTGCCGTACTCAGCCATCTCATTATTATTCTTACTACTGCAAATTCCCTTGCAGCCCATTACACGCAAGGAGATTGAGTTGCATGCTGTGGAGATACCGCCTATCATTATCCTGGAGAATTCTTTCTTGGTAAATGACAAACTCATCAAGAAATTGTGCATGATCATGATTTTTTATTGAAAATGACTTAATTTTGTCCAAAGTTGCTTTCTATTCCCAATAAGCATGAATAATCATTACTTATTTTGAACTGCTGAATCTTTAAAACTTTTTTTTCCCTACCTTTTTTTGTATTTTTCGTTAATAATAACTGGCAGCCCTGAGCTGTATGGCCTAGATGTTCCACATTGCACTACTCTGTTTTATGGTTATGAAACTGAATTCGAAACTAAGCAAATTAATCCAAGTTTATACGTTGATAAGTACCTGATGAGGTCAATAATTGATTGTTTTGGCCATGTTCGCCGAATCAAAAGCAGAGTATATGCGTTTGCCACTTGTCTATATTCATAATTTATGAAGTTTACATGTTTACATCTTTCAATTCTTCTTTTAGGTGAGTTTGAATCTCGTGAACTTGACCGACCGAGTGTTGGGTCCCTTTGAAGTAAGTTTATCAGAACATGATTCCCTTGATGAGAGAGCTGTAATGGTTAATGGTCTTCAGACAATGGTTAGCCATCTAATTTTGTTCATAATCAATCACCTTTTTCATGATTAAGTAACTTCATTACTTCGTAGTTTGACATGATTAAGTATTACTGATTTTGTTACTACGTGGGAGATGTCTTCCGAATTCTGTCATGTATTTAATTTTGCTGAATAGGCTAGCTGCAAATTGATATTTCAACATATGAAAAATGTATATTTTACTGGTTTGGCATTCTCTGTACAGACCCTTGGAGAGGTGCAATCATTTAGCTCGTTGAGTTTTCAGCTGGTAAGTGCAATTTAAATTATGTAACACGATTTTTATGCATACGCTTGTACTGAGAATCCTTGTTGTCGAGAAGTGGAACTGATGTTAATTTAACTATGGGAGACTGTCAGCTTCATATATAGATATGCATAATTGGACAGTTGTAAATTTATATCCATCCTCTACACTATACTACTTGATTGCTTTTGAACTTTCGTGTTGTTATATTTGGTGTTTTTTTTTGCCACGCAGAACTTGATTGCCATCAAGCACGGGATTCAGAAAATCAGTGGCATTACAGTTTACGATACAATAGAGAAGAAAACTTACGACTCCCTTTTAGAACTGGAGGTTAATTGTTTGTTTTTTATTCTTTTTTTCCTTTTTTTTCATAATTTTATTTTCGTCTCATTATTCGTGTGGCAAGCTGCAGATATATGTTGACTTGGAGTGAATGATTTACCGTTAATGTTACGTTGAAGACGCTTATCGCCATACTGTAAATTGAGCTTGATTTATTCTGTGGGTGCAAGCATATTCCTTTACATCATCTTCTGCGAATTCAGACGGGGCACTATGCAGCCAGGTTTATTCCTCCGTTCTTTGGCCTTATTTTAAATTTTAGCACAGATAAATATTTTCGTATCATGGATTCATTTTTTTCTTTTGCTTGTATGCAAAATGCTCCTCCGGGCTCACTGGTTTTTTTTTTCCTAAATTAGTCATTAAATCTTCATCCAGATCTTCAAATTGTAATTTTGCAGAATCGTTCCGTTGCTTGAATATTAAAGTCGATATTTATTTCCAATATATATGTAGTTCATAAATTTTAATTTATAAATAATTACATGTTATAATAAAAACATAAATTACGAATTTAACATCATGTATACAATATTATAAATGTTTTCTAACAAAAATATTAATAATCAAATAATTTAGCAATACTTCAGGACTTCTATCATAGAGTCGTAGATTCATCGTGTTATAAAAGAACCTTAAAGAGCACATTTTTCTTACCATAAAACAACCTGCTTTTGCAACACGCTATACGTATACCAGCAATTATACATAAAACTACCGGTCATTAATAATTTTCACAATTAACATTAATTAATTAATTAATAAACTAATTATAGTCAGGCAGCATAATCCCCGGCATAATATTTGTCTTCTGGGTAATACAAAGCCATCACAGTATTGCCTCCGAACTTCCTGCCGCTCAGCGATGACTTCGCTTTGGTACAACCACTAGCATCAGAGTACTCCAGAAACACCTGTGCATAATACATTATTTTATAATTCATCCGTCTATTTTTCTACACTTGTGAAAAGCAATGACAAAATTAACGATCACCACATCATCATAAGTTAATAGTTTGGATAAAAAGAACGTAGAGGCCAGAGGGAGGAGGAAAACAAGAATAATCTTACCTTTCCAATACCTCCAGTGTGTGCAACATTTGGAATAGGACGAGGAATTACAATATCAATCAGTTCCCCTACAATTTCACAAAGAGAGAACTTAGCACTACCATATAGAACATCATTTGAAAAATGAGGATGACAACAAGGACACCAAACACAACATAAATATATCAACAGCTAGACTTTTTAGTTACTGAACTTCTATTGAACATCTCCGTTTCTTGGAAACTGTAATGCCATTAATTATGGGTTTAAAATAATTTTGATTTATCTATTATAGTTGGAACATCAATTTGGGTCAATGGACAATGCGCTGTTTTAGTCGTCTTTCAAGTCTCTCCAAATGTCATATAGTATAACAAGTGGTGTATAAAAGGTAAACTGTAACTCAATACTTACCAAATTTCTGGCATTCTTCCCTCATATCTTCAAGTATTTCTTGATATTCTCCATCATCCATCAATTCATCAGTAGTAACGACCTTGCAAGTAGTTTAGATATGTGATTATTTCAACACAAGAGATAAATGTGGAAGACAAAACTCAAACGTACCTCGGTCAAGCACAAAATTTTGGTGGGTATCTCCACATTCACTAGGGACACGGTACCTCCACCTGGAAGATTGATCACTCCAGCTCCCAAAGCCATTTTCTTAAACCCAAAACACCAATTAGCTGACGTCCAAAAATAAGCTAAAAAGAAAAATCGGGAGACATGAATCTGAACCTGAATTGCTATATGTTGCTGTGCCTGAGCTAGTATATACTCCTGCTCTGATTTCAACTGCCCACTGTAGAAGATAGGAGTTCAACAAGTCAGACCCTATTTACTTACACATAATAAACAAAAAAGGCAGGTATTAAATGAAAAATACATGGTTATACAAAGCAGACGTGAATCAGAATATCTAGTCATACCTAAAATGATCTACGAGAAACAATATAAAATTTATAGTACAAACAAATATGGACACGCTATACTTTAGCAATTCATTTATGTTTTATTTTGGCCCGGGTGGAGCTTCACATGAAAGCATGAGTATCCGATGTAAAGCAAACTATTCCTATAAGTTAAGGCAAAAGCTTGGGAAAACAATGGACTTCATTTCTGCATTAATGTGGTAGAATCAGCTGAGTACATTGACCAGAAATCAATTGTAGCCCAGCATAGGGTTAGACAATTCCAATTTCTAAAAACATAACACTTTTCACCCTTTTAAACACAATCGAGTTGAATAGTTAAAAGTATTGTGATAGTGTTGTAGCCACCCAAAAAGCTAAAAGTGCATAGGAACACTTTAAATTGAACTACAAATCTAGTAATATTCTGCAGTAATTGAAGGGAAATTAATCAAAGAAGATTTACCTGATGGTAGCCCGCCTAACAGTAAGTGTTTTATCACCCACTTTTAAGCCATTCAGAGAAGCACAAGCAATATCTGTCACAGAAGGATCCTGAATTAAGCAAAGCCAACTGTCAGAAAATCCTTCACCATAATTCAAATACAGTAGTAAGTAATATGAGCTGATAAGAAGTTATGGAGTCAATATATTTCGGAAGTTAGAATAACAGTCTTATTAAGAAATACATGAACACTTCACCATTGGTAGATTCAAGAAGTAAGAGCAAGTACATAGGTTAAGTTAAGATCATTGAAGACAAACTAATTGCTAGCCCAAGTACAAGAGGTGTTCTAGCATCGGATGTGGCATACCTTGTAGATGCAGAAACCATATCCTTTAGAGTTTCCTGTATCTCTATCTTTAACAAGGTCAAACCCGCGCAAAGGTCTGCAATTGAGTAATTAAAAGACTAAATTGATTCAGAGATAGGATGATCATTTGAATGATTATTCTGATATTTTTAAAACTGGGATCACTCAATGACAATAAATTCTCATACCCGAAGCTCTCCAACAATTCTTTGATCTGAGCTTCAGAAAAATAGTAGGGCACCCCGCCAAGAAAGATTCGATCAGCTCCGTCACCTTCACCAGCCATTCTATCAACACAAATAAGAGATAGTCATATTAAAATATTAGTGACATATAACAAGTTGACACTGAGTGGAAATGAGATGATCAAGAAGAAATTCGAAGCTTTTGAACAGATAACATTCAAATTTTACAAGATCTAAAATTGATAGCAAAAGAGATCACAGACCCTTCATCGCTAGCAATTCGAGTAAAATAAGATGAAGATTGAACATTCGTCACAATATTACAATCATTTTCACAGCAGAGGTTGCAAGCAGTAAAAATAGTTAAAGTATGAACCATCATGTGCATAGAACACACATTTGGAGCACACGTTATATTTATCATCATTGTCTAAACTTTCACCCTAAGTTACCAGGAAAAAGACAAAAAGGTGGTGTCGTCAGGAAAGGTAAACCACATCTCAAAATGATGCACTTGAGACATAATTGATTCTGGATCTACATTCCACATGATGGTAACTCATGCATCTTAACAATATAAATACCACCCTGCCCATATGACAAGTAAAATATATTGTTTGATGCAGCTATAAAGTGTATATTGCTACCTAGAAGTCGACCCTATCGTTAAAATAATATCATCCACGTAGATTTTTATTTTGGAATTATTATCACACTAGATACTGTAACCACCCACATACATCAAGTTCAACTCAGCATCAACCTGGACAAAGTAGGTAAACTCCACAATTTACCAACTTAAAAGTTCAGACAAAAGCAGCAGCCACCACCAAGTGAAATTAACAGCTAATAAACGAAAGAAAATAGTAGGGGTGGGGGCAAGGGCACTTACCCAGGTGTAAGCCCTGCAGCAGCTAAATTAAGAAGAGGACTAGGTTGACTTGGACCAAGTGGTGCTGCAAGAGAAGGATTATAGTCTGTAGGTCTTCGTACTCTGACAGAAACACCCTAGTAGAATAAAAGAGAAATGGTGAGAAGAAAAATACTGGGACATCATATACTCCACCTAGATCCTTTTCACATTATGTCTCTGGTTGAATAAATGTTTTTGAAAACCAAGGTAATTGAACATAAAATAGAGAAAAGTCTACACCAAACAGTTTTTTCAAAACATTTTAGAAATGTACTATACCTAATCAATCATATAATTTGTACAGTGTTTTAGTATATACATATTGCATTACCAGTAAACGTTGAGAACACCTACATTGAAGTGAAATAATGATAGTTTTGGTGTCATAGTAAAACAAATCATTTAGACACCGGTATGTAAATTATTCCGGTGGAGAAGAACAAAATTACTTATCAAATCTCCTTAACTTCACCAACTAAGGCTTAGACTATTGATACCGGAGCCTCTCCCATAGTGGTTTTTGGTGAGAGGCCGGGGGTTCGAATCTTTTAGGGTGCATGTGTTGTAAGGACATGTCATAAGGCCAATCTTTTTATTTTCTTTTATAAAAAAAAATATGATTACCACGCAAAAGAAAGAGAAGTCGTTATTTTGGCCTAAAATGTTGAGCAACGAATTGTACACCTAAAACAGATGACTTATTCAATGAGAAGGTAACGTATATGGTGTTGGATAGTTAGATGGATAAACGAGGGAAGTTCATCATACCTCGAAAACAATTCCATCAAGTGCCATTGCATTACTTGCCTCTTCTACGGTTCTCATCTCCACAAATGCAAACTTCTTTTCATGATTAATGTACACATTCACCACAGCATCACCTGATATTAAACATTTAGTGAGGTTAAAACTGGAAATGGAGAAAATGCTTAGGTACATAACATTTTGTCTAAACATCAAGAGACCACCTACCAGGACCGGCAGAGTTTCCACCTATTGCATTCATAACATGGCAGAAAAACCTGGATATTGTCTGCATCGATGGAAATAAGTGAGAAATATAAACTCAGACAAAGGAACTGATGCAACAGTAACATGAAGTACCCTAGGAAACAGGCCAGAATACATGAATATGCACAAAAACAAGTTAGACTGCGGAAACAAAAGAACAATATTGGTGGCACATATTTTTTCAAGATTCATAGCAAAATTTCCCAAAGACGCTCAAAAACTAACATCGTGCGGATTACCAGCCAAGAAAATCTCATGAAATTAGACAGAGCATGGAAGTACTATATAGGAACTTAGCAATACCCTCTCAACAATTGGGAGCGGATGGAATCATGTACCTGCTCATTAGCCAGCGGAGGAAGGCCACCAACATACACTCTGCGTGCATGCCTTGTAGCCTATGAAAAGGAAAACACTTTATGAAAATCGAGATTTACTAAAGAGTACATGATAGTAAAAGAATATATCAAGCATCACCCAGTTACCTGCTGAGTCATCACCTGCATTGGGAACAATGAAGCGGAACCTAAATAGTTAACCTAACAACAAACCAAGCATGTCTTGAAAATTATGGAATATCAATAAACATTTGAAACAAATATAATGAAGAATAGATACGGCAAAAAATGAATAAACACTATCGGCTGATCTGATCTACCTGAGAAGTATCGGAAGTAAGCATGTTTTGCAGCACTCCAGGGATTGCTTGAGGAGCCATGGAAAATCCAGATCCTTGTTCTGCGTGATTAAAGATAATTGAGCACACAATATCAATTGCAATGTCAGATATAGAAGGAAAAAAAAAAAAGGTTATGCCGCAACCCTAAACGGATTTAGCAGCATGTCTTAAAACCTTAAAATTTACAAAATGGCCATACAGACTTAAGGCATCAAGCTAATGAAGATATAAAGAAAGCCTATTCTTACCTAGGGTTGAATACCATTCATATTAATATAATATGAAATAATTTTCACCACTGCATCTGGCTTACAGTTCAAGTCTACCAAATAAGAATAGTTGAAGTTGAAGATGAAAAGGTCCTGCCACTGCAGCAGCAATTCTTCCTTGGCAAATATTCTACATCCCTCACACCCATGAGAAGCATGGCAAGACATGATACCCCTTCTTAACGTAATGGTGACAAATCACAAACAAGAAACCACACACAACAGCCAACAACATAATTATGGTTTTAGTACAATACTCAGCAATCAAAGAATGTAAAACTGAAACATATTATATGGCAGAAGAAACTAAAAATAATAGTAATCAATTACACCAAAACCTATTCCCATACTTGACATTATAGAACGTGTCTGTAGGCTAACCTGAAGGATTTGGCAAAGAAGAGGCAGCGGGTGGAGCCACATCAAAGCCACTTGTCCGCTTGCTGCCAACAACATAATATTCTAAGATGGTCATAAACAGACAAAATCAACGAGTAAATCATATAATTTACATTTTTCAACAGGAATTTAAACAACGCCACTGACGTATAACCTAAGGAAAGGCAACTGAAAAAAAAAGATGCACTTCTAATAGGGTTTTAAGAACTGTAAAAAGAATCGAGGCCATCACAATATCAGGAGCAATATCATTATAATTTGACCACATGGCATATGCAACTTGGATAAACAAGGGAACTGATGCACTCAATACTAACATTGTTGAAACATGCTATAATTGAATTTCAAGAATATCAAATACAAGCAAGAAGACGAATAATGACAATGATCAGAAACTATAAGTATAGGATTAAGTGAAGCTATTGAACCTCTTCCCACGAGAAGAATTTAGCTGACATGCAGTTTACCTCTGATATCTATCATCTGATCGACTCGGTGACCTCTGTTTGTACTGTTTTTCTCTATCTTCACTATGCTTATAACTCCTGTATATCAGACGGCACACAAAGCATAAGAGCATGCTAGAGTGACTTAAATTTGAGCAATGGCATGCTATCACAGAATACATAATCATCACCATAATTAGTTGGGGAAACTAAATAAAAATGGAATACTCATGTTATTTATTAGCTACAAACACAAAGTTAAATCCCAAGAGAATAATTCCATCGAAACCTTCTACACAAAGCCAAATTCCAAAAGAAGATAAATACATGCTATATCTGAGGAACGACATGCTATCACAGAGTACATAACTATCCCAAAAATTTGTTAGTGCAACTAAATAAAAATGGAATACTCATGTTATTTATTTGCTACAAGCACAAAGTCGCATCACAAAAGAAAACAGTTCCATCAGAACCTGCTACACAAAGCCAAATCCCAAGAGAAAAGACAAATAAATCACAACCTGCTAGATTCCTGGTTTCTTCTACTTCCATAATCCTCATTTTTGCTTCTTCCTCCGTAATATCTTTCACTTGTCTGCCCATCTTGCTTCTGATATTGATGCTTCTCCTCGTTTTGATTCGACTCCTTTCTCTTGAATTCGTTGTCATCCGAACCATGATCTCTGTGCTGCAGGACCACAAATATAAGTCATTGACTTCACACAACATACAAATGCTTATAGTTTCAAATGCCCTATATGATGATAATTATAAATAATGCGTCGACGAGTATTAACTCCCATGTATATGTACTTTATTTCGAAATTCACTTTCCAAGCCAGCTAATGGACACTCTAGCATTTTTAAACATAAATTTATACAGATATCAAAATCAACTGCAATCTCTAGTTTGATCTTCTCCTTCTATCACAAGACACTTACCATTATCACCCATAGCAATAATTTTCCAGGCTGTACAGCATATAGAATGGAATTCTTATATAAATTATGTATTATTTATGACCACTCCTGTATTTAAAACTCAAATTACATGGACAGCCGCCCAAACTAATCGCCATAACCACGGTAAACATTTCAATACACTCTTCTAAGGTAAAAATTTACCTAAACAGTAAATTTACCACAAGGAACGCATAAATCATTTCGCAATAATCTTCACAGCTAGAAACCACAGTTCCGAAATCAATTTTGAATTTATATGCAGCAATTGCTTGCTAGCGAGAAATAAATCATGAATGAAACGCAAATGGAAAACAGTAAACCTTGTGATGACTCGAGCGTCGATCTCTCGATGAATCGTACGGAGACGATTTCCTGCGATCGTCTTCTCCACCGTGACGAGGCATTGCTTAACCTGATTTCTACTTCTAATTTCTCTCTCCCTCTCTCTCTCCTCTCTCTCTCTCTCTCTCTCTCTTCCCCAATTACTTGCGCTCTGTAGTGTGTATACTTTATAGTATAGTACTTTATAGTTAATGCCATTAAATATATTTTCATACTGAAGGCCCCATATATATATATATATATATATATATATATATATATATATATATATATATATATATGAATGGGCTATGAAGGCCCTGTATATGAATGGGCTATCAGGCCCATACATTTTTAATTTAGTTTTCGAGAAAAATACAGTTTTCATCCCTCAAGTTGTCACCGATTTCATATTTAGTCATTTATGTTCGTAAAAGATATATTTGGTCCCTCATATTTCAAAAATTCGACAATTTTAGTCATTTCCGTCAACTTTCCATTAAAACTAACGGAAAGAAGCGTTTGCAGATCATTGTCTTAAGAAAAGACAAAAAATATTAAATTATTAAAACATGAGGTGCCAAATGGGTTAACGACTTTGCCATACATTCTGTGATACCTTCCATGGATGGGTGCAGAGATAAATGCGACGATGAAGAGATCGGAGTTTGCAGTTAGTTAGGTCGTTACAGATGTCGCTCTTGAGAGAAGAAATGAAATTAATGAAAGCAAGAAAAGAAAAGATGAGACGAAAAACGATATGCTAGTTGGAACGAGAAACCCTAGTAGCCTCACCAAACTAACTTATAAGGAAAGGAAATAATAGGATAAATTAATAAATTTTAGGCAATTTTATTCTGATCAAATAATTTGAAAAAAATGCAATTAATGTATAAATTAATAATTAGGAAAAACATAATTAATAATTCGAGTAGAATTTCCAATTCAAATACAAGTGAGATAAATGCATCAACATAACTATTAAAAAAAACGCATTCAAATTAATTATATCTAGCAAGTAGTAATTATGAAAATTTACCAATGTATTATGTAAATAATAAAATTAGCAATAAACACAATTTCATGTGACAACTATAAATTAGGGTAGATAGAAACTCAATATGAAATAAATTATACAAATTGTTAGCACCAAATATTACAATGGCTTCGGTAAATACTGTCACGCTTACGCTCTTCTGTCTTACCCTCGTTACGCTTTTCATCCCTCATGAATGTAAGTTCCATTTTTCATCGTAAAGTATTTCTCACCTCAACGCTATTTAAGAGGCCTTGCATGCATGAAATTACACTATAATAATGCATACCATACATACATATATACATAGGTAAATTACTGTCAGTATCCTTGAAATAAGATCAAATTACGAAAAACCCTTCTTGTTTAGATAATTAAAATCACCCCATCAACTAGTATTGTCTTACGAGAAAACCCTTCATTCAGTAGGTAAAATGGCACCGTAAGGATGTACGTGTAAGAAAAACATAGTTGAGGGGGTCAAACAAGAAGGGTATTTTTGCAATTTGACCTTACTTCAGGGGTACTAACCGTAATTTGCCTTCAAGAAGGGTAGTTATAATTATATATGTAACTTCATTCTATTTGGACACTAATTGACAGGTGTTGAAAACAATAACAAGGAGATTTTAACTGGGGTTAATGGAGATCAAAAACAACAGAAAGGGTGCCTATTTCTTGATTGTGGGCATGGTAACCCATGTTGGTGCTGTGGAGCTGGTCCATGTTATGCCACTAAAGAAGCATGTCTTCAGAAGTGCCCATCGCCTAAGTTTCCCAGAAAAATTGTGTCTTGATTTTTATTAATGTAATAATTGTTAAAGGGGTATGAAATTAAATAATATTATTGGCAAATATTAAATGGATTGTGAATTTTTAATTAGTTAAGTAATATTTTAATTAATTAAGATATTAAATTTAGCATTTCGAAAGGCTCACAACTCAGAATAGTACTATTGACTAAATAGTAGGGGCTGGTAAGATGTTCCGTTGACAAGATTCGTGCTTAATTCAAACCCGTAACAAAAGTTAATGTAATCTAATTAATCGAACGTCTTACTAATTAAATAATTAAATAGTCGGTAAATAATTAATTCGATATATAGATTAAATGGGCCTAGAGTCTCTAGTTTGGGCTTCTCCTTTTATATTGTACAAGCCCACTAACAATTATGACCGAATTTCGTTCACACAAACAGGCCCAAAATAATGTATATAAATTCTAGTAAATTGTGTATGTTAATAATTAAAAAAAAGAAAAAAAAAAATAACAATTAATAATTCGAATACAAATAATTATTATGAAATCTCATCATATCTTCCCTACAATTAAAAAAAAATCTTAGCATATTTAAACACACAATTAGCTCATCGAACCTCTATAAATTAATATAGTAAATCACAATACGAATTACGAAACTCATTGTACATTTGTCGAGTAAATATTTCAATGGCTTCTTTCAATATCGTCAGATTTATTTTCTCGTGTTTAATTGTTGCTGCCCTATTCGTTCCCCACGAATGTAAGTTTTTTCTTTTCGATTTTTGTTTTTATTTAAATAATATTGAAAATAAAAATGAACTTACTAAAATTTAGTGAATTTTCTTCGATTTTGATTTTGCAGGTGTCGAAAATAACAGCGAAAAATTTGCAAGAGTTGGTGGAGATAAACAGTTGAATGCATGCGGCACTTCGATTTGTGGACACGGTCATACGTGCTGGTGCTGTAAAATTGATACCATATGTTATGGTTATGAAGCATTGTGTATTCAGAATTGCCAAATACCTAAATTTCCTAGGAAAATTGTGTCTTAAAATTTCATTTCATTGTTCCATGTATGAATAAAATTTTATTGTTTGGAGTTGATGAAAATTGTATTTCGAATTGCTATTATAATTAATTAAGCATCCATAAAATATAATTCAACTAATTCATTTTTATGCCCCGTGAGGGATGATCTAACGATTGGAGCAGGTGAGCTTGTGTCAACTGATTCAAGTTCGAATTCTGTTGCCAATGATCGCTGAGTGAAGTTTGTCATATATGGTTAGGCTAATATAGTTACGTCTTAACGTATAATTCGACCGCTGGGCGCTGAGTGCAATTTGTCTTACATAGTTAGCCTATTGTGATTTACATCTCGATTTAATCAGTTTATATGAAATAATGCATCCATAAATATACAAGATTTGATTAATTATATGTTCTAAATACTAAAATAGTAGCATACACATGCATCCATAAAATATTAATAGATTTGATTAATTATATATGTGGCAAATAGTAGCACTATTAGCAAATTTGAATTGGTTATATCTATCAAATAATCACAATGAAATCTTTGCAAATATATTACATAACGATATATTAGCATATTTGGATTAATTATGTCTAAAATAATCATAATGAGATATTTGCGATCGAATTAATTATATCAAACAAATAATAAAACAATAAAGACAGTGTGACGTAAATCGAAGTGCGAATTTGTATTTTGAAATTGATAATTAATTAATAAACTCTTTTATTTACATTTTCAAGGTGTCACTTGGGTGTATGACCGGCAATAGAGGTGGGCCTACCCAAAACTCAATTGTTTGGTCCAATTTTATTTAAGTCGACGAGCCTAACTAACTATGAGTTGGACCGAGTTTGAGCTATTTTATTAAATCTGATTAATTTATGAGTGGAATTTGAACTTATTCAAAAAAGGCCCGACCGATTAAGTTAATAATTAAATAAATAATATATTTATATTTTTTGCTCAACATCTAGAAATATAAATATATTATTTTTTACTCAATAGTTGTCATTTTTGTTAGTTGCACACATATTAAAAAACTCAATAAATATGTATATATAGTAACAAAAAGTATAGTAAATCACTAAAATGCCCATGTCATTATTTAATTTTTAAATAATTATATTTCAATTAATTATGAGTGAGAAAGGGCAAAATTGAAAAGAATGCAATTAATTATTCATTAGAATAGTAAAATGACAAATAATTTGAAGGGTAAATTACAAACACCCCCCTGAGGTATGGTCGAATTACAAAAACACCCCTCTTGTTTGGATAATTACAACCACCCCCTCAACTCCTCAAATTTAGTGGAATTTTCGAGATTATATGGAATATTATCACTTTTGTACCCGTTTTATCCCATTCAACTCTACATTATGAAGCAAGATGACCATAATATGTGATTTTTAGCTTGTATATATCAGTTTGTGGTGCATCAAAAACTGTATTTTTTAAACAAAACAAGTACAAACTAGAGCACATTTCACAGAATTTAGAAGACTATGTTGAATTTGGCACCATAAAGGTGTAGGTCTAAGAAAAAATCATAGTTGAGGGGGTAGATGTAATTATCCAAACAAGAGGGTTTTTTTTTTGTAATTTGACCATACCTCAGGGAGGTGTTTGTAATTTACCCATAATTTGAAATATGAAAAAATGGCAAAAGTGACAAGTATTAAGGGAAGGAGGGAGTAATCAATAATAAGTTTAAATTTTCTCAAAAGAAAAAAAAAAAAGAAGTTTAAATAGTTTGGGTTGGAAACGGTAAAAAAATAATTCATGTAAGTTATAATTCAAAGTAATTCATGCATATTAATAATTAGCAAAAACACAATTAATAATTCAAGGTCATGCTCAATCCGATTTAAGTGATATAATGCATCCATATATTATCAGATTTGTCATTTGACTGATTATGTATATACCATCTTAATTATCAGATTTGAATTAATTATAAATAGTATCAAATAGTAATGCATACACCATATATTCGCATATTTGAATTAATTATATGAATCAAATAATCATAATGATTATTGCAATTGGATTAATTAACCAAATTAGCAGTAAACACAGTTGTTTGACAGCTATAAATAGGATTATAAACGACTCACAATGCAATTCATTCCACAGTAATTAAGCAAACATTTCAATGGCTTCTTACAATACTGCTCGTTTTATTTTCGTCTCTGCAATTCTTATTGCCCTCTTCGTTCCTCATGAATGTAAGTTCCATCTAATTTATACGAGAAACTTATTATTAGTTGCACTGGGCTTAATTTATTTGATGCTACATCAGATATAATTTTTCCGTTTACATGTGCATTGATCACGTGTAAATATACAATGCAAAATTACTTGATGTTTTTCATCTTGTGTAGCATCTACTGACGTTGTAAATTATTAATTTTTTTTTTCAATTTGGATTCACAGGTGTCGATAATAGCAGAAAGATCTTAGCAAAAGCTGATGGAGAAAAACAAATTATTTTCGACTGTACCCAATCGGTATGTGGGATTGACGAATGTTGGTGCTGCATATATAATGACTATTGTTTCGACTACGAAAAACAATGTAAACGGGCGTGCACATCGGCTAAACATCCCAAAAAAGTCGTGTCTTGATTTCATTCTGGTTTTAACGAAATCAATAAATTTTCTAACTATGTACTAAGAGAATTATAAATGGATTGTGACTTATGTCGATGTCCGAATTATTATTATTATTATTTTTTTTACAAATTATTTATTCGATAATTTCTACATGTTAATCGAATATGGGATGTCACATCATTGCAACAACAAAACGCAACTCGATCTATATATAAGCAAAATTTTGTTAGTTACCAAGCAAATGTAATTTAAAATCAATTATACAAACTTCAAGTAATTTATTTTTTTGTCCGAGAATGTATGTGTGTGTGTGTCCATAATAAAATGGAAAATCGGCCCAAATTCAAAGGTCGAAATACAGTTAAACTTCTATAAATTAATACAGTCGGTACTAAATAAATTCTATTACTTTAGCGAATTATTAAATTATCGAGTTAATAATTTAACACATTTTCACCGAGTCGGGACCGAGAGAAAATATTATTTAATCAAGGTTATTAATTCATCGAGTATTAATTTATAGAAGTTCTACTGTATAAAGTATGTAGAATATATATAACAAATAATTCTTTATTGTATTAATCTATTTTTAATTGAAACGCATTCATCAATTTTACTTCAACAATATTTATTTTTACGAAAACCCCCTGAACTTAGGCTAAATTACGAAAAATACTCCCCTATATCCGTAATAACCAAAATTCCCCTCTGATTAACCGTTGATCGAGTTTTTTAATAGAAAATGTGTACAATCTATTATACCTTCTGTTAAATAGGTAGAGAAATAAAAGAAAATATCTGAAATTGTATAAAATCTATTCCCTAGCATTAAAAAAATCCGTGAAAAGTCACAGAGTAAGGGGTTGGTGTAAGGCGTAAACAAACCTCAGGAGTTTTTGGTAATTACGAATAGATTGGGGTATTTTTTGTTGTTTAGCCTAAGTTCATGGGTTTTTTGTAATTTACCCTATTTTATATTTAATTTCGAATATTTAGATTTGGAAAAAGAAAAAAAAATAAAAAAAAAAAAAAAAGTAGGTCAAAAGCAGAGAAGTGTTGAAAGCAAGCGAGGGACAACAAAAAGAGCAGACGGTACAACAACCCGAAGCTGCCACTCTATTTTGAACACCACTCCAACGAAATATAACAAAATCGAGGGTTTGGCTCAGCGACACTGCGAAACGGAAACACAGCCATGGATGCGGCGGCGGCGGAAGACGGCGGCGCCGGATCTGTTCACGTCAGAGCCCACCACATAAAAAAGAGGGCCCTCAGGAACAAAACTCTCGCTCTATCGTTCAGCGAAAAAGACCTAAAGTACTTAGATTCCGTTTCGTTTTCCCCCAATTTCTTATCATCAAATCTGAACTTCAATTTTCAATTTCATTTTTTTTTTCTATTCGTGGTATTTATTTCTGTGCTGCGCAGAGATTATGTGACTGGCTTCCACAAGAGGAAGAAGAAGAGGAGAAAAGAGGCTGTGCAGCAGCAGGAAGAAGCAGAGCGGCGGAAGCGAATCGAGCGGCGCAAAAAGGTTGCACCGTTGAAATATTTATCTGAGTATTTAGGGTTTTGAGTTTTCTGTTATTTTTACTATTGATTTTGAATTTGCTGAACATAATTTTCATATAATCACTACAGTGTTAACACCATGTGAAATGTGCTTAACTAGTTTTTCACTTTTCATTTACACACAATCACACACATATACATGTGGATGTGTGTGTGTGTGTGTGTGTGTGTGTAAAATATGTATTGACCTATATACGTCTATGTTGAAAAAACCCGGTTTGATTGTAGCTGCTATTGAAAAGAAAAAAATCGGTTTGATTGTAACTAGTTTTTCATCATTGGTTTACACACAATCACACACGTACACCTGTGGATGTGTGTGTGTAAATGTGTCGGTTTGATTGTAGCTACTATTGAGAAAAAAACCGGTTTGATTGTAACTAGTTTTTCATCTTTGATTTACGCACAATCACACACATATACATGTGGATGTGTGTGTGTAAAGTATGTTGACCTATATACGTCTATATCGAAAAAACCCGGTTTGATTGTAGCTGCTATTATGTTAAGCCAGTTGCTATTATTGTTCCGTTTTTTTTTTGGTAATATAAAATTATTTATTATTACAAGTTCTATTTCAGATAAAATTGGATAGAGATTTTGTTATATACGGTGGAGCTCCACCGGAGGCCGGTGCAGTTGCTGCAGAGGTCGACGAGGAGAGTGAACACGATGAGGATATCGAACCAGCTCCGTCGGTTTCAGGTTTTATGTCCAATCTGTATCCACTGACATAATATATATTCTTACGCATGTAAAATGTAATTCTATTGTTTCAAGAAACGTGGAATCGAGTATTTTATTTTCTCGATAGGGTTTCGTTAGGATTATGTGCACTAAAAATCGCTATGTCATATACATATATGAGAATGGTATGGATGTATCGTATGAGACCCGGTTTTTGAGCATTTTTTTAAATAAATTATGTTGTTTCTTATTTTGAAAGGAATGATGAAATACGACAATGGTGACGTACAAGTGACGGTTGTAACAAGTGAAATAGCGCGAGAGGAAGACGATCCGGTCGATAAGTCAGAAATGGGAAGAAGTCAAACAACGGGTGAAGGGTTTGAGAAGAGCAAACAGAATATTCCTGTGATCAAGAAGAAGCTTCTAAAGAAGGCTCCGAAGCAGAGATCTCGCCCGAAGCAACAGACTAAACGAGATAAAAGGAAGGGCAAGGTGAAGAACGATAAGCGTTGAGATTTTGTAATTTTTATCTTCTTTTTTTCCGTATAATTTGAGATTCTGTAACTTTCGTGTGTTCTTACATCATTTGTTGGTACTGAATTAAAAAATAGTGGAGAATGTTTGATTTTGAAGATACGATTGTATTGCGTAATGAAAAAAAAAAAGGACGGAAAACGAATAGTGTATTATTCGATAGCATGATTGTTTGAGTTCGTAAAATTTCGTTCATTTTGAATTTTATTTATCTTCTATCACTAGCCGAGAAAAAATTTAAAATAAAATAAAATTTGGGCTTTGAGTTTTTGTTTTGAATTTATTGCTGAATCATCCAGTCGAGTTATATCCTATATACGCGTACATAAATTTACACTACGTAGCACTTGCTACGGACACAAAAATGGTGACACGGGGAAATGGCATATTCCAAAAATGGGGAGTCGAGAGTTTGGGGAAAACGTGTAAATATTAAGATTATAGGGGTATATTTATAAATATGCCTTATACGAACATATATAAATTTTTATTTTTATTTAAATTAATTTTATATATATTAAATCCTGAATAAAATTATATTCCATTCCATATCTAAATATGTGAGGTAGTCAAAGATACACAATTTCACAGTTAATAAAATCTTAATTAACAAAATATTATTGAAATACAATTTGGAGCTTTTATTCTAGTCTATTCACAAATTATTTATGTTTGACTGGATTCTAGCATATTCGAATTAATTACGTACGAACAAACAATCGCAATAAAATTCTATTACTTACTAGAATATGTTTATCTCACATCTATAAATTAGCATCCAAACTCACCAGATGAAAATCATTCTGCAATTATCGAGCAAACATTTTGATGGCTTCTTACAATATTGCTCGTTTTATTTTTTTCTCTATAACCCTCGTTGCCCTCTTCGTTCCTCATGAATGTAAGTTCTAGTTTTAGTTTACGTATTTTGAATTGATAGCTGAACGTATTTTTTATTTAATTTAATTTAATTTTTTTCCCGATTTGGAATTTTATAGGTGTCGATGATAGCAAAGAAACCTTAGCAAAAGTTGTCAAAAGAGCGCCAGTATTCCATGATTGTTACTATTCCCGTGATTTTAATTGTGGAGACTTCACTGATGACTGTTGGTGCTGCGATTACGATGACCATTGTTACGAGTATAGACTACAGTGTTTGAAATATTGCGCGGAGAAGAAGAAAAACCCACGAAAAATCGTGTCTTGATTTTCGTTTCATTGTTGAGGATGATAATGAAAATTAAACAATTGTTCTAATTAAAATTAACGATTTAGTTACGACGTATGTCCAAGTATTATTTTTTTTTCAATATCACAAGAGGATTAATAAAAAATTAAAGTTTTTTTCGAAGCTTGTGCCTCTATCTAAGTTTATCGGTTTCCGTCGCTTAATTTTCAGGTTGGCGGGAATATTTACTATTTAGCAGTAACCATTTTGATACTTGAATTAAAAAAAAAAATCAAATGGTAATAGTTCTAGTATTTATTCACGGCTTGTGCCTTTCAAGTTTATCGGTTTCGGTTGCTTAATTTTCCGGTTGGTGTATAAATAAATATGAATATCCAATAAAAAGTTTTGAGAATAGACGGACACAACTAACCTTAATAGCAGGCGAATGTGCTGGATCAGTAAGGACTGAAGAGTAATTTCATCTTCATCTTCTTCTGGGATGTACACCGAGGCTCGTTTTCTTGCACCAAAACCATATGCCACACAATAGAGGGTTATATTCGTCATTCCATTCACGATGTGAAAACTTTGTTATAGACTTGTAGTAGATATCATATCAAGCCTTTTTTTTGTTTGATCGATATTATCGAACAAATTGCCAGACAAATTATGAGACTCAAATCATGCTATCATTTGAAAAATTAGCTTTGATTAACTAATGGGAAAAATACAAATTTTGTCCCTCAAGTTTGCACCGATTTCATATTTGGTCCTCTATATTAACAAAAATCACATTTGGTCACTTGTGTTTCGAAAACTCAGCACTTATAGTCATTTCCGTCAATTACCCGTTAAAACTAACGGAATCAAACGTGTGTCCATTACTGCCTTAACTGACGGACTAACTGTAAATTGACGGATGACCAAAGGTGTTAAATTATTGGAACATGAGGGACCAAATGTGAAATCGGTATAAACTTTAGGGGTAAAAACTGTAATTTCACCATTTACTAATATATAAATATACATCAAGACTAATCACACTCATAAAATGAAACCGATGCGAAATCAGCCAATTATTGAACATATAAAACTTACCGCTAACTGCCTATGAAGCAACCATAAAGTGAGAAATTTGTCGAACCTTTTCGTTCTCCAAGTCCAGGTACCGTAATGTGATCCTAAAACAATGTGCGTATAGTAACAAAAAAATTGTATATACCTGAAGTTCATGCAAATTCGAAGAGTTGAGAATATATAATCTTGAAACGGGAAAAAAACAGTTTCCGTCCCTCAAGTTTGCATCGATTTCACATTTGGTCCTCATGTTCACAAAATACATATTTAGTCCCTCATGTTTCAAAGATTCAATAATTTTAGTCATTTCCGTCAATTTCTCGTTAAAACTAACGGAATCAAGTGTGTCCCTTCACTGACAGACTAAACGTAAATAGACGGAAATGACCAAAAGTGTTAAATTATTCAAACATGAGGGACCAAATGTGTTTTATTGTGAACACGAGGATCAAATGTGAAATCGGTGCAAACTTACGCGTACATACCGTAATTCCCCCTCTTTAAATAGACACAAGCGAAAGATCGGCCGCTCGTAAAATCATCGTATAACAAGCACTACCGGAGCTCTCGGACGCTGCAGTTACTTCATTTCGATAGCAACCAACACAGTTTGTTCTTCCTGATTTAGACAAACGTTTGAGCATTTGAGCATCCAAAATAGAATAAAATTGTAAATAAATAAAATATAGTGGGTGATTGTGATTACATGATTTATTTTCCTAAATAAAATGCCCAAAATTAATTTTCAAGAAATGTAGAACTAAATGGATGTTATGGTGAAAATAATCAAACAATACTAACTTATCACTGCAAACTTCACTTTCAACCCGGACCCAACACAATGGCCGATCCGACCCGACCCGGATCCGATCCGACCCGACCCGTTTTCTACTCTGAACTATTAGTCAGGAAATTTTATGCTGAGAAAATGTTGCTTACCGAAGGGGGAGATGGTAAAAAATTATCTGCCAATTGAAGCGATGAAGGAGAAGCTTCGATTCCTCTGTGCCATGGCTAATTAAATTATTAAATCCTTTTTTTCCGGATTCCATTCAGCAATTTTTATCTGCACTGTTGAAAACGACACCGTGTTGAGAGAGAAAATGACCTGTGAAGCATTTAGGTTTGTCGAATTGAAGCTGAATCGGAACCGCACTTCGAGATTCTTCGTCTTCAATTAAAATGATTTTTGAGGGTTTTGTGCACTGAGTGAAAATTTCAGAAACTCACCGTACGAAATAAGAGCTCCACAAAAAGCACACTGATGCTAACTTGCGCCTCTAAATTAGGAATTTTCCCGGTTTATTTTCGGGCCGTAATTTTTCCATGAGTAAATTACGAAAAAACCCCTTAAACTTAGGCTAAATAAGTCAAAACACCCCCCACTTATTCGTAGTTACCAAAAATTCCTGAGTTTTGTTTATGTCATACACTAACCCCTTACGATGCGACTTTTCACGGAATTGTTTTGATTTCAAGAAATAGACTTTACAAAATTTCATACATTTTCGTACATTTCTCACCTATTTAAAAAGTATAATATACTGTACACATTTTGATATTTTCAGTTTAAAAACTCGATCGACGGTTAATTAGAGAGGGATTTTGCTTACTACGGATAGGAAGGGGCATTTTTTCGTTATTTAGTCTAAGTTCAGGGGGGTTTTTGTTATTTACCCTTTTTCTGTTTGGGCTGCTAATTCAAATGAGATTGGAGCCTTTATTCTATTCACAAATTTACTCAATCTGAGGCCCGATTTTCGGATTCTTGTTTTCATTTAATTTTTCAAAAAAAAAAAAAAATATTAAATAAAAAAGAAAAGAAAAGAAACGAAAAAACGGAAAGTGACTTTGCCTTCTAGAATGAGTATACAAACAATTATAATGAAATTTTAGCAAACTGAAATCTTATTCCTTCATTTCTTCATGTAATTCACGTGATAGATAATGCCTTCCATATATTACCATATTTTTATAATTATGTATAGCAACTAATTGTAATGAAATTTTAGCAATCGTAGTGAAATATTATTTCTTGTTACTATGAAATGATCATCTCACATCTATAAATTAGGACCCAAATTCACCCTATCAATTCATTCTACAACTATTTGTTAAAAAAAAATAATACAATGGCTTCTTGCAATATCGCTCGTTTTATTTTCTGTATGGCTCTTGTTACCCTCTTCATTTCCAGTGAATGTAAGTTCTGATTAATTTTTTTTTCTTTCTATTATCAGATTATGTATATTGTTTCGCATTTCAAACCTCTTTATTTTATATGGGACTATACGTTCTAAAACTATTTGATGTGTTTCGATTTCACCATGCGTACCATCTATATAATTGTTGAACATATTTTTAATTGATATATTTTTTTTTCAATTTAAATTCAACAGGTGTTGGTAATAGCAAACAAGTGCTAGATTACTGTTACGAACGTCAAGATTGTTCATCAAATAATAAACATCAACCTTGTTATACGTGTCGGTATACCGACGATTCTTACGACTATAGGGAACAATGTGAAGACGTTTGCTTCCCGGGGAAACGTCACCGGAAAATTGTGTCTTGATTTCGTTTTTCTTGTTTAGGGTAAAGCAATAAAAATAATTGTTCTGAATTATGAATTAATTAATAAAACGATAAATGGATTGTGACGTGTGTCGAAGTGCGAATTTATTTTTTACGAATTATTTATTGAATAATCTCTCTTTCGACGAAAACACTATACCAAATGAAAAACATAACATTTGTAACTTTTGAGGAAAATAAATTGAACTCGTAATTAGTAAAATATCTAGAATATATAATTTTACAATTGTGGACATAATTTTTCTGCCTTTTCACATATATAACCTATCTAAGGCCCAATATTTTTAGGCCCGATTATCGAGTCTTGTTTTCGTTTTCATTTAAAAAAATATATATTTTTGAAAAGAAAAAAAAAAGTGACCGTGTTTTCTATATTAAAGTGATAGTAACAAGTAAAATATCTAGAATATATAATACTCCCTCTGTTCCACAATAACTGTCTCTTTTTAAAAATATTTTTTTTCTATATTATCTATCATTTTAGATTTTCAATACTGCATTAAATGCATTTTTCCTGTTTTAACCTTATTAATGAAACTCTATTCATTAATTTTCCCTTATAAATTATTAAATATTAAAGGTTGTTTTAGTCATTTTTATATGATTTTTCTAAAATGAACATATATTTATTGAGTTTCTTAATCTTTGTGAAAAATGAAAAGTGACAATTATTTAGGAATGGAGGGAGGATTATATAATTGTGATAAGCCAAAATAGGAAAAATAAACATTTAACTGAAATTAATTGTCTATTTTTATTTGCAATAAAAGAACAAACACTTAAATAGAAACTATAATTCTTATTTATATAATCATATATATCTATAAAATCCGAATTGCAAATATAACTTTTATCCCTTTTCAATATATAAATCCATTTGGTAGTCAACCCCCTTTATAAGATTAATAAAATGTTATTAACAATGTTAATAAATTAATAATGCAAAATCCTAATCCTTATTTTCCATGTATATAATTCAAGTGAGGTGTATCAGATTATATATAGCAGATTTGAATTTATCATATCCACCAAATAATTTGTAATGAAATCTTATTTGTTACTGGTGTGACATCTATAAATTGGATAGAGACTCACGATCGGAGATTTATTATGCAATTATTTGGCAAATATATCAATGGCTTTTTGCAATATCGCTCGTTTTGTTTTCTTCTCTGTGACCATTGTTGCCCTCTTCGTTTTTCATGAATGTAAGTTCTAATTTTTAAACCACTTTAGTGAAACATTATTTTATATCATTTTTTTTCCCAATTTTACAATTCTTGAAACATTGTAGTACTAAAAATCCAAATACGAAACGAGATTTTGATTTTTTTTGAGGAAAAAAATGTATCTTACTCGTATTTTTTTCGATCTAAATTCAACAGGTGTTGATGGACAAGAAGAAACTCCTACTTGTTTCCGTGCTGCTGAATGTATAGGTCATACAGATTGTTGGTGTTGTAAAGATGAAGAGGAAATTTGTTTCGACTATGTAGAACAATGCATAAACTATTGCAAGGATGAAAAAGAACCCCGGAAAATCGTATCTTGATTTCATTTCATTATTAAGGTCAACTAAATAAATAATCGCTCTGATTTTGAGTTAATTAAACGATAAATCGATTGTGACGTATATCGAATTGCGACTTCTTTTGTTACAAATGGATTATGTGTATAGGCTTCGTACTTCCTTTTATATTCAAATATCTTCGATCAACAAACGAGTACCAATAAGCTCCAAAAGAAAAACGGTGAAAACCCACATCAAAAAAACGAAAACATTAATATTATTTTTCGAACCCCAAAAACGGAAAAAACGGACAGGTGGACATTACTGAATCCATCTCCTAAATAGGGAGAAATAATAACCTGCCCTAATTCTCTTTTATATTTTCCCACTCTTTCTAATTGCTATATAAATAAACCATGTACTGTTGGACATAAGAATATCCTGCTCACATGAAATCGTAATCATCGTAATCATCCATAGTATCGACCGCCACGTCATCTTCAGTCTTGCCAACATGCAGCTGTTTCTTCTTTCCACCTTCAAAAAATTAAATAAATAAAAAATCAAATTGATATACTCAATCGGAAAACATAGCCAGGCCAATAAATCTGTAATAATAAAGCAAAGAATCATAGTGTACCTTTCTTCTTGCCGGCATTAGCTTCTTTCTCCGCCTTGATCTTTTCGTTTGCAATTGCAGTAACAGAAGAAGCAACTTCTTTGACATCTGCGCCTTTCAAAGAAGTCAACGACAGTCTCATTACGGCCTTCAGTAACCCAATATAATGATAGCTTTTCTGTAAAATATATAGATAAAAATAAGTCAGCAGAAAGAAAAAAAATAATAAAATATAACCCCCGGACAAATAAAAAAAAAGAACTAAATGTCACAAACCTCGAAGGGGCGAAGCTGATTAGCAATAAGTTCAGCGTATTCTGCAAAGTCGCTTTCGGATTTAGGGATAAAATTATCAAGAGTTTTTTCATCGCCCTTCTTGCCAAACAATTCTGCAGTTGCCTTATAATCAGCTTCTTCGACAAGCCTTCAAAAAATCAGCACAACCACTTTTAAATCCATATATGGTTTGAAAAGGTCAATGCAACTAATTCTCGAAAACAATTCTAAAAATATCGAAAAACCAACCTCTGCTGACGAAGTTTTTCTTCTACAGGATCTAACGGTGCCTCCTTTGGAGCTTCAATGGCTTTCCCTTTCTTTTCAACTGGTTTTGCTGCTGTTGTCTTCTTAGGAGGGGATTTTTCAGGAAGAGGTTCAGCTTTAGGTGCCTGATAATTATTTGGAGGGAAAACAAAAATATTTCAGTAAAGAAAGAGTAAACATGCACCAAAATATATTTCGAACACTATTGAATGACTACAAGGCTTCACACTTGAGCACGTCTCCTAACCAAGAAACATATAGCAAACAATTTCAACAACTTTCTACTTAACTTATATTAGGTGACATTTCAAACATATGGAGTTCTGGCAAGTACGCAATTTCTAGAAAAAAAATGAGGGCAATGAATAAGGTAAAATAGACCGATTCCCAAATGATATTCTGCCATGAAACCAATAAGGACCAAAGGCCAAATATTGCATACTCATAATAGTTTATACTTCAAAACTATAATAAAGAAAATCGATCGTTCACCAAAACATAAGAGATTGAATTTTATGGATTCTGTGATATTTCTATGTTGCACAGTTAATAACTTATCAATATACAGGAAGGGAAGAAACATATTGTTATTCCCACTTCACTTGGTACGAAAATTCCAACAGAACTCTCAGCCGATAATCAGGTGATCAAGGCAATTTAGTTACCGACGATAATATCTAAGAAATCAATATTTGAACAACAAAATATAAATTTAGAAATACTAATTGAAACATACAGGGGCAGGCTCTTCTTCATCTTCCCAAGAATCCTTAATGTCGTTATCTTCCAAGTCTTCATCATCCCAATTACGCTTCAGCTTTTCCTTCTTAAGAAGATTTGGAACAGGTTCATCCTCTGAAATACCATAAAATTGTTAGAATCCATCAAAAAGAGGTCATGTGAAAAATGCAGACTATCGTTTGGCACTTGATCTAAATACCATAAGCAATAATTTCGTATAACACTCTTAATCGAGCAGTCTAAAACATCAACCGAAAACAACACCTATCCTCCAATTTCCTCTGGTTTACCAAAACTATAAACGTACTTAGTGATGACAAGCCTGCTAAGAATCATCCTACATGTTGCGTGAATCAAGAACACAATCTCTAAAGACACTTTACAGTAAGTATTTCAATAACAGGAGTTGAGCAACCAACAAAGAGCCTAAATCAATGCAATAGTCAATAGTCTTCTTATTAGTGTCAACTGCCCGGACGGATAAATTTTATTCAAGTAAATTCTTCGCAACGACAAATTACAAACACACGTAACATAAACAGGTGAACTAAAACAAATTTATTAATGCAGAACCGCGGGACTCCGTGCAATTAAGCAAAACAGATGAAATCAGTGTAAAATCAATAAAATAAAAATAAAAATTATGCTAACTCGTGTGAAATTTAGGTAAAGAAAATTACCCCAATCTGCCATCACTTTCAGTCACTACTTAACTCAGGAAATTACTTCACAATTCGACAACTTCCTGCAAAGGAAAAAACAAAAACCCTACTCGTCAGAAATAATTGCAGCTGCACACTGAAAGTGAATTTGTCTAATTAATTGAAGGAATTGCAACAGCCGGCCACAATCATCACAAAATCAATTAATCCAAAATCAAGAAAGAAAAAACCCTAAAATAGAGTAATCGAGTTACTTTCCACAAACAACAGTTGCTTTTCATGAAGGCAGTAATCATCGGAAAATCCGCTGATCCAATTAAAAAAAAACCCCATATGCGAATATAAACACCCTGAAAGAGTAATCAAACTAGCTTCGATAAACCTACCGTTTCTGCGAATAAGTGATGAACTTCCAGAACAAAGCGGAAACCCCAATTCAGTTTGCTGACAGAAAAATGATCGACGAACCAAAATAGGCGAAACCGTAATTAAATCTGAACAGGAGATACTGATGATCGGAAAAATCGCAGAGAATCTGTTCCAGTAATTAGGGTTTTTTAATTTCTGATTTTATTTTTTTCCTGGAGACGAACGGTTTATATATGCGTTTAGGAAAAAAAAGAGAGGAAAATAATGGCAATTATGAAGAGAAAAACAATTGATTTAATCTTTGACTAATCAAAGCTAATCTTTGATTTATATATATATGTATTTTATTAGTTTATGTATTTATTTATAGTATTAATTTTCTGTAATTTGGACTTTTTCCATATTTTGTTAGGTTGATCCAATCAAGGCCCTATAAAAGTCAACCCAATAGATAGATGATGGGCCTCAATCTATAATTTGATTATGATAATTTAGGCCCGCCAGCGGCCAATGAAAGGCGGCCCATACGGCCCGCGGGCTCAGCCCATACGGCCCACTTCTTTCACGGCCCGGCCAGCCCGGCCCTGAAAGGGAACCATGAGTCCAGACCCTTAGCCCATTTTACTCTATTTTGACGGGCCCAAGGCCAAAATAATTAAAAATCATATAATTATATATAATGAGTTTATAAATTATATATTTATTTCAAAGTCATTATATAAGTAAGATAAATATTTATTAAAGTATTTTTTGATATTTTATTAGTAGAATATTAAAAAAAGAAAAACCATAAACCAAGGGGCCCACAAAATATAATATAACTCGATTTTTTTAGTCATTTATAATATAAAATATATGATAACATTGATATTTAAAGTGTAGTTTTTATTAAAAAGTTGGTATTTTCGAATATTAAAATTGGATCATAATTCGAAATCTAATATTTATTCTAATTTCTTTTAGAAAAAAAAAATCGAAATCCAGGATTCAAAATGATAAATGTTGTTTAAAATGTGGAAATATTAAAATCGGACACGCCAAAATTTGAAAATTTCGTTCCAATTTCCACCGTTACTTCGAATGACAACGGTAGATTTTTCAAATGAAATTTGGTAGGATTATAAAAGGGAATTGCTTTTTGCGGTTTGAAAATTGCTATTTGCGGTTTATAACAAAACCCAAAAAAAAAAAAATTATTTCACTAAAACCCAAAACTTTCCAAAAAAAATCAAAATACCCCTCCAAAACGCGTAAAAGCCCAACTTGAATAAAATAAAATAATAATAAATAGGAAATACTAGTCGGTCAGGAGAATATTCCTAAAATGAGGTTGGTCAATCTTTTACATGAATAATGAATCTGATGTCTGACGTTAATCACAACGATTAAAGTAATATTAAAAGTTGTTTAACAGCAATTAATAAGCCTAAATCACACCGAACGTGACGTATTTCCTCTATATAATTTTCAAATGCAGGTACCTTCTGCATCCAAAGATGTACATTGTCTTCTTCGTCAACGAATATTAGCTGGCACTTGGGACCGCAGAATCACGCTCGGCATGTGTCCAACAACTGCGTGGGCCGAAAGCAACCCCCGCGAAATGCCACGTGTGTTCTTCTTGTGCGCCAAGTCAGATAAAAGCTGTACAATCAGGTACAGCGCGGACCACTCACGTTACCCTGCACCCCCCCTCCGACCTTTTCGGGAAGTTTCCCATTGCTTCATTTTCATTTGCTCTGAATCACCAGCAACAAATCGAGACCATCTCACCTAATTTCTCTCTGTTTTTTTTTACCTTTTTCAAAGTAAAGTCAAAGTAAAACTCTTCTTCTTCTTCTTCCTTTAGCTCTTTTCTCTCTCTCTCTCTCTCTCTCTCTCTCTCTCTCCAGTTTTCTGCGTATGTTTATTTTTCCCCATTTTTCTCAGGTGATTTTCAGCTGAAGGTTTAAGAGATGCGGAAGATGACGGTGTTCCAGAGATTTTCTAGAACTTTCCGAGACAATCCTTCGCTCGGTAAAATGTTGATCGTTTTCACCGTCAGGTAATTTTTGTTTTTAACTCTGTTTTTTTTTTTGGTAGGAGCAGTGTTTTGATGTTGTCCTGTTATCGCTTGTTGGATTGTGCGATGGTGCTTGGATTGATTTCTATTTATTTCAGTTTTCGGAGGCTGTTTTATAGTTGTAAGATAGTCAGCTGAAATTTGTTGTCGATTGGTGTATGCTTTGATTGATGATAATTGTGGTTGTTGATGCTGATGAGTTTTGATTTTGAGATTTTTGTTTTCGATTTGAGATCAGGAAACAGATGTTGAAATGATGTAGATCTACGATCACGATTTAGTCATGACATGTGATTTTCCTAACAAAGTTGACGAGTTGATCTAGATGGATTATGAAAACTTGGAACATTTTCTGTTTCTTTAATTTCGCATCCATCGTATTTGAGCAACCATAAGTTTATGAAATATAGAGAATTTTGGTTCAGAGGAGGCGTGTTTTGGCTTGAGTTTGATAAGAAAAGAAAGTCAGATTTAAGTTGTTCGTTTGTTTTTAGGGGAAATTAACGAATTATATATTTCATTGTCAAGTTTTATTCGCATATAGCGTAAATGAATTTGTATTTTCACTGTGATTTAGTTTGATTGCCTTTCGTGTTGGTGTTGTGAAAGTTATAATAGGCTTGGTATCTTAGTTGATGTCCTGTAACGGTGAAGGATATAGGATCTCATTCCTGGATCTTATCGATCAGTTTATTGCTATTATCCAATTTCTACTGAATGTGCCTTATATGTTTGCAAGTAGGATGTACGAAAAATATCTTTATGAATTTAGGTTATTCGGAGGCTACTAGCATCTTATTTGCAGTGAATCCCATCAGCATGATTTGCCGTTATTCAATTCTTTTGATATATGAATGACAGTGGTGGAGGCCTTGTGGCGTATTCTGAGGCTAAAGCAGATGGTGGAATTCATGCTGTCAATCCAAGCGAGGTTGATGTCAAGAAGAAAAGAGTGGTGGTACTTGGAACTGGTTGGGCCGGAACGAGTTTCTTGAAAAACCTTAGCAATTCATCCTATGATGTCCAGGTGATATCACCACGTAACTTTTTTGCATTCACCCCGTTACTGCCGAGTGTGACATGTGGCACTGTGGAACCTCGAAGCATAGTAGAACCTATCCGCAACATTGTCAGAAAGGTGAACATCTTATTGCAACTGGGCGAGGGAGTATATATATCTTATACTCTACTACGATATAATGTAGAAATAAGTTTGTTATCTGTTGTCGAAACTCTGCTTTCCTCTCTGATTTTGTAACTGGTCTTATCTTAATTATAGTGGTTCTTCTGGCATTGTAGTCTTATATATCTACATAGTCTATTCACTTATTCATTAGTACACTTTTATTTGCATTACACGTTAGGCTTGATCATTTTGAAAATCCCATCTCCAGAATGTGGTTTACTGATGACTAAAAGGGAAATTTATTAGCAGTGTAACTGATGGTTTTTTCATTGTGATGGTTATTTTTTGAGCACGTACTTACAGTAATCTCTTTCTGGCAGAAAAATGTAGATGTTCATTACTGGGAGGCAGAGTGCTTTAATATTGATGCAGCAAATAAGAAAGTTTACTGTCGATCACATCTAGGTGGCGATGTGAACTCAAAGGAGGAAATCATTGTGGACTATGATTACCTCGTGATTTCCGTTGGAGCCCGTTCAAATACATTTAACATCCCTGGTGTGGCGGAAAATTGCCATTTTCTGAAGGTAACATCCACAAACTTGTTTCAATTATATAAGTGAGCATCCTCTAGTTCGATTGTAATCTTTATGTGCGTCAATTAAATAATTATATCCCCAGATTTAGATTGATAAATGCAAGTGTAGTTTCCTTAAATATGCATTCGGACCTGAAACATGATTATACCATATTTCTGCCCAGAAGTTCATGAAACTTTTGTGATTTTAGGTTTATTATAAGCATAGAAGCTGTTGTCTATTGTACCTCTCCTTGGTTCATGGTTTTGCTTCTCCTACAGGAAATAGAAGATGCTCAGAAGATCCGTAGGACCATTGTTGATTGTTTTGAGAGGGCGAGTTTGCCCAACCTAAGTGATGAAGAAAGAAAGAAAATTCTTCATTTTGTCGTAGTTGGTGGAGGTCCAACTGGTGTGGAGTTTGCAGCAGAACTTCATGATTACGTGACAGAAGACCTGGTCAAGTTATATCCCAAGGCTAAAGAGGCGGTTAAAATAACACTTCTTGAAGCTACCGATCATATTTTGAATATGTAAGTCCATGTTTTCTTGAAGTAAAATTATTAAAAATTTAGTCTCATCATTGCAATTTGGATACAACTATCGCGGCTTCTGTTTAGCCTTCAAATCAGCAACCCAAAGAATAATGAAGTCAATGTGAGATGGTCTAGGATAAAACAATACTCAGTTCTTTTCATTTCAAGTGTAAATTGACTTAGTTATCTCTTCCTTATGTTTCAACAGGGTTAGGTAACAACGATAAATTATGCTCCGTGTTCAGTTTCAAATATTTTTTCTTCTTAAATATACAAGTGAAATTATCCCCCTTTTAAACTGGGCATATATATAATGAATCTCTGGATTCAAGATGTTATATCTCATTTGTAGGACCTCTTGAGTTATGGTTTCATCCAATTTTCCCTGTGCAGGTTTGACAAGAGAATTACGGCTTTTGCTGAGGAGAAATTTCAGAGAGATGGAATCAACCTTAAAACTGGGGCTATGGTTGTCAACATATCAGACAAAGAAATCACCACCAAAGAGGTCAAGAATGGTGGGGCAGTGTCTACTATGCCGTATGGCATGGTTGTCTGGTCAACCGGCATTGGAACTCGCCCTGTGATAATGGATTTTATGAAGCATATTGGTCAGGTATTAGCTTAGAGTCAAATATTACTCGTGCCTTAAGAGTTGTGAGTTGTTTTTTGCTTTTAGGATTTGTGTCTGAATTGCTTAATCTAAATGAGTTCTCAAATTTTCTGAAAATCCTATTTTTTGTCGTCCAGGGTAATAGACGTGTCCTAGCAACTGATGAGTGGCTTCGAGTCGAAGGATGTGACAGCATATACGCACTTGGAGATTGTGCCACAATCAATCAGCGCAAAGTCATGGTATCTTATTTCGCAACTCGATTAATCTAATGCTGCCTATTCTGAAAATCAGACATTTCATTTCATACATTGCTATTTGCTTACATGCGAGTTTCCTTATTACACTTTGTGTGTCATGAATAATCAGTATTTTTGTAATCTATTTTTTTCATGCTCTTTATTATTGATTTTAAGCCCGCAATTACTAACTACAAAGTATCTGTACAAAAAATGCTTTATATTTGGTACCTGTTGTCTCAATAAAAGTTGTAGTTGTAGTTCATTGAATTCTCCATCAAACTTAACCCCACTTTATATTTTTAGGAAGATATTTGGGCTATATTTCGTAAAGCGGATAAAGACAACTCAGGAACACTTACTGTCAAGGAATTCCAAGAAGTGCTCTCTGATATCTGTGAAAGATATCCCCAAGTAGGACTCTATTTGAAAAGTAGACAGATGAAAAGTCTCGTTGATCTGTTGAAAGATTCGAGCGGGGACGCTGTAAAGGAATCAATTGAAGTGAATCTCGAAGAATTCAAGTTAGCCCTTTCCCAGGTCGATTCTCAAATGAAGAATCTTCCAGCAACAGCTCAGGTTTGTCATCAAACAATACATCATATATGATTTTAATTAACCATTTTATTTTTTTCTCATTAAAATGTTTATAATAATATTCTAATGCTCCTTTGACGGTATTTCAGGTTGCAGCACAACAAGGTTCCTATCTTGCTGACTGTTTCAACCGCATGGAGAAGTGTGAGAACAATCCAGAAGGTCCTCTTCGCTTCAGGGGTGAAGGACGCCATCGGTTCCGCCCTTTCCGGTTTAACCTTATTTTTATTTATTTATTATTTTTTTATTTTTTTAAGATAACCTTATTTCCTCAAAGCCCTCAAAATGAGATAAACCAGATGCAGCGAAAAATCTTATTTAGCTACTAAATGTAGAATGTAAGCACAAGATGTGTTTGTTTTTCTAATATGCTTACTGTAATTGTACTCTTAAGGTACAAGCATTTGGGACAATTTGCTCCGTTGGGAGGGGAGCAGACAGCTGCACAGCTTCCTGGAGACTGGGTTTCAATTGGCCGCAGCTCTCAATGGCTTTGGTATTCCGTTTATGCGAGGTGTGTTTTCTTCTTACTCTAATATCAGTTATTAACTCTAAGGCCTCGTTTGACAATATTGATGATATTTAATTAGACTGATTAGATTGGATTGAGTTACACTTTTTGTGGCATACTTCACAAACACTTGACACTCTACATGAATAAAATAATAAATCATATCTAATTCCTATCCATTTCTTTCCTTTCCATGTGACATTTTTCAATTTGATATTGATAGTTGACTTGTGTTTATCTCTATTTATATCTTCAGCAAGCTAGTGAGCTGGCGTACGAGAGCATTGGTTATATCAGACTGGGGGAGGCGTTTCATTTTTGGAAGGGACTCGAGCGGCATTTAAGGAGGTCAAATGTTTTATATATTTTCTGAATAAACAGGGGACTACGCCTAGTGTTTCTACTAGGCTACGACATACATATTTGTCTTCGTATACTTCGTTTTGTTTTCCCTTCATATTTCTGAAGATGGTGGGTGAATTTTGCCGATAAAATGTTTAACAATATCATAGGAATCTTCGAACAATAAATTTTTGCAGCTAGATGTGTGAGATTCGGATATAATGTGGCAGAATAATGATTTGCTTTTGCTTGTCTTGCCGATATCGAGAGAGAGACAATGTTTATTATCCGGGAATTTTGTCGTCTTTTCTGAATGATAATGACATAAAATAATTTTGATTGATATAATAGATTCTTGACTGTTTATACTTTATACATTATTGATGGTCTGTAGCAATTGAAATTTTTGTTTCTATTTTTAGTAACATATGTTTGGTACTGATAGTCTAGTAGTCACGCTATTATACTGACCTTGATGTATTTATCTGGATTGTGATAATAAATAAATAAATAAATAGAATATATTACAACCGTACCATGAAGATAAGTTCTATTTAAAAAAAATTCTCATTTTTTCATTCGTACATCTCTACATTAACACCCTTTTTTAGGGTGGATGTTAGAAATTTACAAACTGCATGGGGCTGGATGTAATTTCTCAAACATAAGGGTTTTCTTGTAATTAAAATTTATCTTAGGGAGGTGGTTGTAAACATTGTGGGTTTTGTAGATGCTACACTCGATGAAATACACCGGACCGATTTAATCCATAGATCTATACATAATAACACACACCCATATGTATCTGTGCTTAGTGGGTGGTTATTTGTATAGATCTACGGTTTAAAATCATACGGTGTATTTCACCGAGTATAGCATCTCATAGACCAAATGCAAAGTAAATGTTCTAGAAAATTATGCTCCTTTCCCCTACAAATTAAAGATCATTGCACAAACAGAGAAAGTACAGAAACAAGTTAAATGTTAGAGAATATATTCTGTACACAACAAACAGAAAATACTTGGCAATCTTGTTATCAATGGTTTAGTTTATATACAAATAACATATCAAAGGTCCTGATTTAATTTATCCCACACTTTGCATATTTACATAACTGCCCTGTTTCCATAACACATTGCATGCATGGCTAGTAGCTAAGTGGTAAGAAAAAAGAAAAAAAACAGTTGCAATTTCAAGACTTTGATCAACAAAAGAGATGAACTGTAGTACCTGCAGCGGCGGAGTCGGTGGCGGCACAACCAATTCCGTCGCCGGAAGTGAGGAGAGGCGGTATTTGGGTCCTCCGGCCTTCTTGACCAAGACGTTTAACATAGTGAACGATCCGAACACGGACTCCGTAATTTCGTGGAGTTTATCGGGAGACAGTTTCATAATTTGGAACCATCATAAATTCTCTGCAGAGATACTTCCTGTTTATTTTAAGCACAGCAACTTGGCAAGCTTTGTGTACCAGCTCAACAGCTATGTACGTATATATAATATATATATACATATTTAAATAAATTTATTAAAAATCGTCTTTCGTCGGCTTTTTGCTAATTTATTAATATTTTGTTTCTTGATTTTGTGTAGGGTTTCAGGAAAATCGGAGTGATCCATCAGTGGGAGTACGAGAATCCGAATTTTCAAGCGGGGAAAGGAAATTTGCTCTCGAACATTAGAAGAAGAAAACGAAATGTATGCAGCGGTACGTATATAACAATTAGTCCAGAAATTGTTATGAACGAAATAAACGAATCGAAGTTGGAAATCGAGAAGCTGGAACATGAAATTACTGCTGTCCAAGAAAAGGTGGAAAATATCTACAAGCACAAGCTGTTAAAGAAACAAACACGGGGCGAAGTGTTTGCCCGCAAAACGATGATCGAAGAAATCGGAAAAGAGATTCATGCAAGAAAGAAGAGGAAGTTTATTTCTCTTACAACCGAAAACACCGAAAAAAATCACGGGTCTGAAAACCAACCGGTTTTGTCAACCGACGAATATTCTGAGGTAGTTATAGACGCGACTTTGGAAGAGGGGTCGATGGCGAAAAATGCAGATGATTATACATTTTGGACGAAGATACTATTGGAAGATTACGAAGCATGCGAAGCAGAGAATATTGTTATGGATTTCGAGAGTTCAATTGCAAAGGTAGATAATCAAGAAGGCGAACGAGTTATTATTGATCTTAATTAATTAATAATCGAAATAGCAAGTTTAATTAATTTTCTATAATTTTCTTTTTTTAATTTTTGGGTCTGGAGTTTAATTATGTCAACATTAGATTTTCTAAAAATGGTTTTATTACAATTGTATCATTTTATTTTCTATTTTTTTTGTTAAATTGTTTAATGGGCAATTCATTATTACATTTGTTAATGAAATAGTAAGTTACTTAATTCTCTATAATTTTTTTTATTATTATTTTTTTTTTTTTTGGGTCTGGAGCTTAATTATGTCAAGATTAGATTTTCTATAGATGGCTTTACTACAATTGTATCTTTTTATTTTCTAAAAAAAAATTAAATTGATTAATGGCCAATTCATTATTAAATTCGTTAAAGGGCTGTAATGTGGGCCTAATTACTGGTTCGGCCTAATTCGGGCTTAATTTGAAGCCCCATTTATAAAAAAAAAAGAACATTTAGTTGAGGCCTATTTTTTCTGAACAAAAAAAGCCCATTGTTACTGAATGTGGGGCCCACGAGTGCAATAATGAATGCCACGTGTCGAACCCCCTCCAGGAGGGGGGGTGGGGGTGGGGGGCGGAATTGGACAAAAGAGGGTAGAGAAATGATGGAGAGATGGGGTTAGGGGAAAAAGATGATTGGTGGTAACATGGGTTTCTTTAAGTTGGGGAGACAAGCATTTTAGGTGTCAATTCTCATTAAAATAACTCAATAAATACTTTGTAGGAATTAATTAATTAATTTAATTAATAATGTTATATTAAATTAATCAATTATTTGTATATTTTCATTGAGGGGACAGAGACAACGGCCATTCATTGCTGTGGATAATGTCAAGTCCCACCCATGTTTTTTTAAAATATATTTATTTTAGTTTTTGTTTTTTGTGATGTTTCCATTTGATCTTATCTTCCAATTACAAAATATTGGGGAAACTATTTCATATTTAATTCTTTTTTATATATTTTTTCCCATTTCTTTTTGACTGTCCACTCTTCGGCTGTCCATTCTACAAGTTCGTTTGACTAAGAGGGTGTTTGGCTAAGTTTATTTTAAACAGCTGATAAGCTCTTACGTCTGATAAGATGTTTTAAGAGCTGATAAGCTGTTACATCTTATTTTTAGGATTAATTTTTAGAGTGTTTGGATAATGGGCTTATTTCCTATTTTTACTCATTAAAAGATCTTAAATAAAAAGGTGGGGTAGAGGTACTTATTTAAAAAGATCTTATTTGCTCTCCAACAGCTTATTTTAAAAAAAATTAAGATATTTTTCTAAAAATTTACCAAACCCTTTGGAAGAGCTTATAAGCTCTAAAACATCTTATAAGCTCATTTTAACATCTTATAAGCTTAGCCAAACACCCTCTAAGTTTACTTTAAGCATCTGATAAGTAATTTTAAGAGTATAAACTGTTACGTCTTATTTTTAATAATAATTTTTTAAGAGTTTGAATAATATTCTTGTAAACTATTTTTACTCGTTATTTTATTAATCATTGATTTTTCAATTAAATATATATAATTAATTAATTATATAGCACTTAAAAATACATTAAAACTACCACCTCTCCTCAAAAGAAGACTTTGATTTGGACTAGATACCTACATTGATATTTTTCAATATGTTGCCAAACCTAAATAGTTCAATATGAGTACTAATTTTTTATTTTTTAATTAATGCAAATGCCTTTTGAAATTGTTATTATTTGATTATTGTGATTGGCCTCAAAATATGATATTGATATGACTTTCCAAAATTGAGCTTAATATGCTACTAACAATAAACTCTTTTTTAGATGCGAGATTTTTTGGTTCGAATATCATTATTATTGAATGAATGACCTAACGGTTTGAGCATGTGACTTTATGTCAATTAATCAAAGTTCAAAGTACCTTGCCAGCAGTCGGTAGATCGAGTTTGTCGCACGTAGTTAACCTAATGTGGTTTATATTTCTCGTATGATTTGCAAGCTATTATACGAGAGTGTAGATTTATCCCCTGCATCTAATCATTATTACGTATTAATAATTAAAAGACCAATGCATCCATTAAAAATGGTTGATTATTGTATCTTAGAGAAAACAATCTTCAATAAGTAGATGTTTTAAAGCAAACTCGTGTGGAAAATGATGTGGCATGAGGTCTTATTCAAATGTTGCAAATTAATTAATGCCATAACTATTTGTGTTGCATTCATAAATTGTTTGTGCCAAACAAAGAACTCATGAAATTAACCGGTAGGTTATAATTATATCTATGTATATGAGTAATTATGAGTAAATTCGATATATATATATATATATATATATATATATATATATATATATATTTTAGAAAATTTACAGTTTTCATGCCTCAAGTTTGTAAAAAAAATCACATTTGGTCGTTTATGTTCATAAAAATACATATTTAGTCCCTCATGTTTCAATAACTTAACACTTTCAATCATTTTTGTCAATTTACCGTTAGTCCTTCAATTTAAACAGTGATATGGACACAGTTTATTTCGTTGGTAGTATTGAAAAACTGACGAAAATGACTAAAAATGTTGAAATATTGAAATATTAGGGACTAAATTTACTTTTTTTTTAGAACAAGAAGGACTAATAATGAAATAGAGGTAAACTTAAAGGGGCAAGAAGTGTATTCTTCCCATGTCAATGAAAACTCAAATACTTGATTTAAAGTGTATTGATTTAACAACAAAGATACTATTTCAAAATTAATTAAATATACTATAAAATTGTCAAATTTTGATAATTTTGTTATAAGAAATATTTTAAAAATCTAATTCAAATTCAAATCCAATTATTTTTTCACCAATTACAACCTATTTTAGTTCGAGTGTACTTGACCAAAATACCCTCTTCTTCTTCATCAATTAATTGCGAAATCCCCAAAAGGTACTAACATGCGCCGGGGGTGCGCATTTTACACTACTATGGAGGTTAGGTGCTGCTCTCTACCATTATCTGTCAATTTCAGCAAAGGTGGACTCTGCCTAATTATTTAAAAAACCTTCACGTATATTTATACATACATAATTATTATATGTATTCACCAGGCTGTATATACATACAACCACTGTATGTATTTCATAATTTATTACTAGTGTATATTCTTCCTCTTATATACTAGTTGCCTTTGCTAAACCATTTCTTTCGATCTTCGCTTCGCACTCTACACACAGGTGAAAATCCTAATTTTTGGATTTTATATGTATATATGTGTGTGTATATATATAATTTTTTTTTTTGTAGCAGATAAAGTTGCGTAGACGAAGATTAGGGTTTCCATTATTAGAATCTGGATTCAAAATTTTACTCTTTGAGCCAAATTGTGCTTACCTGCTTCAATTATTTGCTTTTGATTAGGGTTTATTTTCTATATATTCTCAGAAATTTGTCATATCTGTTTCAATTGATGTTCTTTCTGATTTTGCCCTTTTTCTGTATGAATTTTGATTTGATTTGCAGTTCATCTGGGATTTGATTTGAGATTCTTCTGAGCCCACAAAAAGAAAAAAAAAAAAAAAAAAAAAAATGGATCCAGACACTAAGAAATGCAAGGAATCGAAGCCCCACTCGTCCAATTCAAACGGATCGAAATGCAGTCACTTGAAATTCCCCGACGAAGCATTGGAGAAAGTCCTCTCGTTCATAGATTCACACAAAGACAGAAACACAGTCTCCCTTGTCTGCAAAGAATGGTACAACGCCGAGCGTTGGACGAGATCCAATCTTTTCATCGGGAACTGCTACTCCGTATCGCCCGAGATTGTTTCTAGAAGGTTTCCGAGAATCAAGAGTGTCAGAATCAAAGGGAAGCCGAGATTCTCCGATTTTAATATGCTGCCTCGAGATTGGGGTGCTAATGTGCACGCCTGGTTGGTTATGTTTGCAGAAGTTTACCCGTTTTTGGAGGAATTGAGGCTTAAGAGAATGACTGTGAATGACGAGAGCTTGGAGCTTTTAGCTAAGTCTTTTACGGGATTTAAGGCTTTATCTTTGTTGAGTTGCGATGGATTCACTGATGATGGGCTCAAATTCGTCGCCACTCATTGCAGGTTAATTGATTGATTTATTTATTTATGAATGATTCTTGCGATATGCTTTTATTGTTGTTTTACGAATTGTGAAATTGTGGATTCGGGTTTTCGATTGTGAAATTGGGAATTATTTCATCTGGTATGAAGTTTTGGATCAATGTGTTATAGGATTCTTCTAGATGATTTTTCCGAAATAATCTCTATTTAAGAATCATTATTGTTTTGCTTATTTGTGTTTGAAGCTATACGTATTGTGACGGTATTTCATAGTTATGTATTTGATATCGAATGTGATTCTGGATAGATATTTTAGTGGTAAAATTGAGTCTGCTGCTTTATGTTTCTCTTTGAAAGCTTTTCGATGCGACAGCTTACCTATTACTTGGCAGTTAATGGATAGTCCACATTCATTGGGCAAGCGGGACCCATATTTGCTTTGTATGCATAACAACTTGTTAACTATTTATTTCCTTTTATTTGCCAATCTCTTGTGATATTTCTCACTAGTTGAAGATGGTTCTATTCTTTTAAAACTTCTATCACATTATTGGATACATTAATAAATCAGAATTTTATAGTTGTATTTTGAAGATATACTTGGTAAAAAAGGCTTAAGGCACAATGTTTTTCCATTGCATGTGTCTTCTTGCATTAATCGGATTGGATTTTTGTTCTCCAAGAACTTTCTTATAATATGCTTAAGTGTAATTTGGTCATTGAATTACTTAGTATCAGAATATGACGTGTTGAAGGGCAAAAATGACATTTTTAGAGGAATACCTCATTGAATCAGTAAGATTCTGTCAACATTAACGCAGTAAGGGGACTGTGTAAGAAGTTAGCATACCTCGGGGGTTTTTGGTAATTAAGCCTTACGTCAGAGGGTTTCTCATAATTTACCCATCATGAATATTACTCGTACGACATATTTCTCATTCTCGTATTCGATTTTTCCTCACAGAATCATTTTGCTGACGTGTCGCAGGAACTTAACCGAGCTCGATATCCAAGACAGCGTAGCAGTTGACGTAGGCGGAGATTGGCTCACATGCTTCCCTGAAAACTTCTCCTCACTCGAAATACTAAATTTCGCAAGCCTAAACAGCGAGGTGAATTTCGAGTCACTCGAGAAACTCGTAAATCGATGCAAAAACACATTACGCGTTCTTAAGGTAAACGAGAGCATAACATTGGACCAACTCCAAAGGCTGCTTGTACATGCTCCTAACTTAGTGGAGCTCGGTACTGGCTCGTTCATGCAAGAACTAACACCACGTCAGTACGAGGATGTTGGTAGTGCGTTTAGCAATTGCGGAAAATTACGAGTTCTTTCGGGTTTGTGGGATGCTACGGATCTCCATTTTAGTGTTCTTTATGGAGCTTGTGCTAGGCTCACTTTCTTGAATTTTAGTGAGGCGGTGCTTCAAAGTGGGGAGCTTGCTAAACTTCTTGCGCATTGCCCTAATTTGCGACGCCTTTGGGTAAGTAAATTTGGTGAAATTTTTAAGATTTATTGCTGGTCGAAGTTCTATATTCTAAGACAAGAAAAAAACTAATTCCAAAAGGGGTTCCAAAAACATTCGGAAATCGGAATGTTGGAAATTGGAATGGTGGAATTTGAAATTTCCTCTTTTTTTAGTCACCTATAATATAAAATACATAATAGTATTGATATTATAAGGGTAATTTACAGAAGAAAAAAAAAGAGAAAAAAAATCGGAAATTACGAAAATTATTATTGGAATCTAATATGTATTGTAATTCCGCTAAAATAAAGGTCGGAATAATGGGAGATCGGAACTTTGGAATTCATAAATAGAAGATATTGTTCCAAAATCTATGTACTCGGATCGAAATTGGTGGAATTCCGAAATTCCTTCCAATTTATACCCCTAGTATCTGTGCATTATGAGTATCTGTAATAGACAAGAGTTGTCTGAAAATTTGTTTTATGCTGCTGAAAAATTTCTAATGGCCTTAAGTTGTTCTCTCTAAATGGTGGTTATGTGGGTAATATAGTAAAACTCTACATTCTATATCTTGGCTAATTTTATCTTAGCAACCAAACAACGCCATATTCTACAAAATTTCCGATATCCAATTAATCTGTTCTATTTTTTTCTTTTCCAATAATAGGTCATCGATACGGTTCAAGATAAGGGACTCGAAGCAGTTGGATCCAGCTGTCCATTGCTCGAAGAACTTCGAGTCTTCCCACTCGACCCTTACGACCTAGACCACCAACACGGCGTAACCGAGCAAGGCCTGCTAGCCGTCTCCCTCGGCTGCCCCAAGCTCCACTACCTCCTCTACTTCTGCCGGAGAATGACCAACGCCGCCGTCATTGCCGCCGTCAAAAACTGCCCAAATTTCACCCACTTCCGCCTCTGCATCATGAACCCCGGCCAGCCGGACCACCTCACCAAATCCCCCATGGATGCCGCCTTCGCCGCCGTCGTCAAAACGTGCCCCAAACTCCGGCGACTCTCGGTCTCCGGCCTACTCACTGACAAGACCTTCGAGAGCATCGGGGAATATGCCAAGAATCTCGAGACGCTTTCCGTTGCTTTCGCGGGGAGTAGCGACAAAGCGATGGTTTGCGTTTTACGAGGTTGTCCGAAGCTGAGGAAGCTAGAGATTAGGGATTGTCCGTTTGGGAACGCGGCGCTTTTGTCCGGTGTGGAGAAGTACGAGATGATGAGGTCGCTGTGGATGTCGGCGTGTGATGTCACTATGAAGGGGTGTAGGATGCTCGCTAGAGAGATGCCGAGGTTGAACGTTGAGGTGATCGAGGATGAGGGGAGCGATGACGGGGCGAAGGCGGGTAAGGTTTACGTTTATCGAACGGTGGCGGGGCCCAGAAGGGACGCGCCGCCGTTTGTCCTCACTCTTTAGTGCGAGCGGAGAAAGTACATTTTTGCCCCTGTGGTTTTCTCTAATTGTTGAAAAAACCTCAGTGTTAATTTATTATTATTTTTTCTTTAGCAAACTACCCCCCTACAAATTCACTTTTAGGTGGTTGTGAGCTGGAAAATGTATTATATGGGGCGTTTTTTTCGCAATTCGATATAACGCAGGGGTAGTACTAAATGCAGTTAACTCGTGTGTTTTGTACTCGGTGTATTTCAACTGGTGTACTATATGATTGTGTTTGTTTTGTGGTTTGCATGATATGGAGGGAAAATGTTATATGAGATTCTTGGATTTGGGATCGATTAGTACAATGTAATAAATTATTTGTGAATTTTTTATTTATTTTTTAATTATTTTTTTTGGTTGTCAATTTACATAATTTGTAGGATCCTACCATAAATAATGTAATATATAGTTTAGATGAGTAGATCCCACCAAGAATTTGGACCTAACACTCTAATACACGTGATGAAAATTATAATTACAGGCTGTTTAGTGAATATTATTGAAATAATTGTATTTCTTATCATGTTCTTTTGTTGTGATTTATCACTAGAGTTTTAGATTAGGGGTGGCGGTTTACTCAACTTAGACCGAACTCGGTCCTGATTCACGTGGATCAGATCCAAAAATTCATTATACTCAACTTTCACACTTATACATATTTTCAAACACACAAACACCCTCTAACACACTCACACACATATACACACATACATACATTTGACACACATATACACACATTTGACACGCACACTTCAACACACTTTTCACATTGAACCGAATCTAATCAGATCCATGTAACCTGATCCAAATTGCCAGCCCTAGTAGAGTTATAATATGTATGCAAGTATACTCGTCGGCTTAGACTTTTAAAGTTTCTACGTTTATGTAAATTTTGATAAAATTCTCAACTATATAGGATCTTGGTTGCATTTAAATTTATATCTTGAAAGCCAAGTCTAGTTCATTTTTTTTTTTTTGGATTTCACTTGTTCTTCACTCAAAGCTATTTTCAATAATAGATGTAAATAGTGATTCTTATTATTGAGGCATTTTCCTATCTACCTAACAACGAACCACCCTAAAATTTTCTCTTCTTATTGCCTATTACTTTTCTCTTAAGTTACATAAATTAAAAATACTAATTAATTAGTGAAATTAATATATCTTCTCCTTCAAAAAATATAATAATAATATGAAAAAATAATATTAAAAAAAAGTAATTTATTGATATTGATAGATAAACCAAAAGAAAAAAAATGATTGGAGTAGAAGTGATTCTCTCTTATTAATTAGTATTATTATACTCTCATTTTGGTAGAAAATACCAAATTACCAATACAATATGGATAAAATAAGAAGTGAATTGTTATGGTGCATTCCAACTCAATCATGCGTGGTAAGCAAAACATATATCCCACTCATTTGTTCAATATTTATTTATTTATGATTAAATATTATTTTATTTTTAAAAACTCCATTAGAGCAACTCCAGTGGAGGAATTAAATGGGGAATTAAATGGAATAACTTCTATTTTGATGCTCCAAAACATAAATTTTCATCTCCAATGGGGGAATTAAATTGGTAGTTATTTTGATATTCAACTTCCCGAGATGCAAAAATGCATCCTGGAAAAAGAGGTATCAAAACATTAACTACCCAACAAACCAATTAAAAATTGACACGTGTCAATATTAAATATATTTATGCTTATATTTAAAATTAGATGATTCATTTAATGCTTGCGGTTGGAGTAAATGAGTATCAAAATAATAAAACGAGTATCAAATTAATATTTGATGATCGATTTTGATACTTTACCATTGGAGTTGCTCTTATATAAACAATTTTATGGTACGTTAATTTAAATATTAGAAGAAAAAGGAAGAAATTATCGGCCACCGTCCCACTTATTTTTTTCTTAGAACAAGATAGAAAATATATCGCAGCTGTGAAATCTGTTTGGTTGCCAAAATAAAATTAATCAAGATACTCTAATGAAATCCAGTTGCAGTATTAAATTTTGGAAGATTAAATAAAAAAATATAAGATAATATTTGCAGGTCGATCCGTAAAGTTATTAAGGAGACCAAACATCAAACAAAGTCGTATTATTTATTTAATTCTGACTAATATCCCCAACCAAATGAGCCCGTAACATTAATTAACAAGTGCTTAAACCTTATTACATTAAAATATAGATAGGTGACAACCAAAATTATGGGCCATTTTGTCATGTAATGGAAAATTGGAAATAGATTAGGCTTAATAAAGAGGCTAACCCTACTTTTATCGTGGTCCATTTTTCTACTTATTCCGTGAGCTAGCCCACTTTTTTATTTATTACCTAAGAGCTAAATATTGCTTTATAAATCTTCATTTTTTAATTCAATTCTTTCATTAAATAAAACCAAGTAGTAATATAAGTTTTAAAATGATACTACATTTTGTTCCACTAGTTCAATTTTATTTTTTCAGATTTTATTTTTCGTGAAAAGGGTTTTTGGTGTTATTGTCAAAATATCCCATTTTTTATATCTTATAATTTTCTTGAATAAAATATTAAAATAAAATGATCCTAAAAACAAGTAAAGGGTATTCACATGGCCAAGTGAGTACTGAAAGCTACTCTTTGATTTGTGGCGGGTGGTCAATTTTGAATTTCAATTCCAACGAGAATTGGTTCTTTGTCGGCACCATACTCAACTCCGATAATCTAACAGCCCGTTAAGTCATTCGAATTTATATTTCTCTATTAAAATCTGTCGAGCCAGGGAATGCGACTTCGACTGATTTCGCCTTTTATTGCATGGAAAAAAAGTCAATAGCACTCACTTCTACTGTGGATAATCTCAGCATTAATTAATCAACATCGTACTTATGTCTTTAATTTATGCTTTTATCTTTTCTTTCCATTGTTAATGATAAAGCACAAAATTGACAAAATAAAATTAATTCATTTAAAACGACAAATAATGAAAACGAAATAAAAATTCTTTTATTATTATTATTAAAATAAAGAAAGTATTGGTGATATTTAATATATCCAATAATGTACATAGGTTGTTCCTAGGATAATTACTGCATATTTTAATTAATTAAGTAATTAATTAATATATAACCGAAAAAGTCACGAACTGAATAGGAAAGCACAACAAATAGAATATTTAATTACGTATTTCCATTAATTAATTATAATTTAAATTAAATTAATTAAGTTAGTGAAAGCTGTTAGTTGCCTTGAATACTATCTCACTTGCATAAATACATGGCCCAGCGGAGCTCTCAATTTGAGTTGTGAAGTTACCGAAACACCCCTGCTTCTTCTACTTGTTCATCTCCGAATGACAAATAAATCCCTGTGGGCATTTAGGTAAATTCATATAAAACTCCATTCTGTTACGAATCCACATAAGATAGGCATCACTCAGGCCTTTGTGTTCAGCAGATAAGATCATAACTCACACCTCTCGCCGGAAATTCCGATACCCTCGCCGGAAAATGGGTTTCTCCGGTAATCTGTAACAAAATCGATAGATATGGGTGAGGAAGAGAGCAGCCTGCTCAATCAAGCGTCTTACACCGGAAATCAAAGGCTAAAGCAAGCGATTCTTCTCGTCTCGTCGCTGATTTCCGTCTCCCATTCGATCAAAGTCTTCACGGCGAAATGGCAATCGGTGAGGCAAAATCTGGAGGAGCTCTTCTCCACCCTCGCCGCCGTCGAGAATTGCGAATCCGGTGAGAATTTGTCGATTTCGATTGCGGTGGAGTTGATTCTCGTAACCCTAAAAACCTGCGACGAGCTCTCGCAGCGGTGTTTGGATGTCTCCTACGGCGGGAAGCTCCTCATGCAGAGCGATCTCGATATGCTCTCCGCGAAATTGGAAAGCCACACGAAGAGCATCTCCGATATCTACGCCGCCGGTTTGCTCGCGCAGACCTACGCAATCGTGGTGCCGCGGCCGAATTTTCCGGCGTCGAGGGACGATGTCAAGTTCTACATCAACGATTTACTTTCGCGGCTGAAAATCGGCGGCGGCGAAATGAAAAGGCAAACCCTCGCCGCGCTGAACGAAGCCGTTCTAGAAGACGACAGATACGCGAAATCCGCCGTCGAACTCGAGGGTTTCGTCAATTTCCTCGTGAATCTTCTCGATTCCGAGGAGAGCGAAATTCAACAAGAGGCGGCCAAATCGGTGTCTTTAATTGCAGGTTTTCAGTCACACAAGGGTGTTCTAATCGGTGCAGGGGTGGTTGCCCCTTTGATAAGGGTTCTAGAATCTGGGAGTGAGCTGGGCAAAGAATTTGCCGCCAGGTGTTTGATGAAAGTCACGGAGAATTCCGATAATGTATGGTCGGTTTCCGCCCACGGTGGAGTGCCTGCCCTGTTGAAGATTTGCAGTAGTGATAGCAGTAGTGGGAGTGAATTGATTGCTCTGTCTTGTGGGGTGTTGAAAAATCTCGTTCTTGTCGAAGAGATTAAGAGATTTGTTGTCGAGGAAGGAGCCATTGTTGAACTTGTTGAGCTTGCTAGTTCTAAAGATGAAATTGTACAAATAGGCTCGCTCGATTTACTCCAAACTATAGCTTATAGAGATTCGTCGATTAGGGAAACGATTATTAAAGAAGGCGGACTTCGAGCGTTGGTACGGATTATGGATCCGAAATCATCGGTTTCGACAAAGACAAGAGAAGTTGCATTTAGGGGAATTACGAGTATATGTTCTTCGTCTGAAAATTTGATAAGTATACTTATAAATTACTCGTTTATGGATCATATACTTTATTTTCTTCGATATGGAGAGATTTCTGTACAAGAATTGGCATTAAAGGCTGCATTTTGGCTATGTGGAACTTCGGAGGAAGCTAAGAAGTTAATGGGTGATGCAGGGTTTATGCCGGTTCTCGTTAAATTTCTCGATTCGAAATCGTTCGAAATACGAGAAATTGCAGCTGAGATACTCTCTAGTATGTTGGTTGTGTCCAAGAACCGTAAGAAATTCGTGCAAAACGATCAAAATGTCGGTACGCTTCTGCAAATGCTCGATCCCAACGAGGTGAATTGTGGTAATAAAAAGACGTTGCTTTCGATATTAATGTCTTTAACGAGCAGCAATAGTGCGAGGAAGAAGATTGTCAGTTCGGGATTCCTTAAAAACATCGAAAAGCTTGCCGATGAAGATGAAGTTTCCGATGCTAAAAAGATCGTTAGGAAACTATCTTCCGGAAGATTCCGGACTATGTTGAATGGGTTTTGGCATTCTTGAATTTTTATGTTCTTGTTATAGTCCTTTCCTTGATTTTTTGTTTCTGTAAAAAAAATTCTACATTAGTTCGTTTTTTGGGTAAGTTAGAGTTTCTTGATTTTGGAATATGGGAAATGGCAATAAATATTTATCTTTTATTATTTTCTAATATATATATATATATATATATATATTTATATATTGTATATATGTGTGTGTGTATGTATATGTATGTGCACATGGGAATGGTGTGAATTTGGAGGTGGCATGTGAAGTGTAGGCATCAATGTTTTGGACAGTTTTAACCTTATTAATCAAGAATGTGATAAACCATCTGCTTCCTTTTTGTCTCTCTGCTTGTCGTTTTATTATTTCTCATGCAATGTTTTGCTATTTTAATAAATAATAAAGAAAAATATATTACACTAACATAGTAAAATTTAATAATGTAGTATTATAAATGTTACATATTAAGATTTAACAAATCGAATTTCTACATTTATCTCTTAAGATTTGAGATATAATGATGAAAAATAGGAAATTGATAGTTGTTGAAAATTATAATTAGAAATTATTACAGGAAAAATATTAAAAATAAATAATTACAGAAATACTATTAGGGGGGTTTTTTAGGGTTGCCCATCGTTTCTTTCTTTTATATATAAGATAATAAAAAAATTGAAATAAAAAAATGGCATGTAATTTATTCATTTTAATTACTTTTATGAATTTATTATTTGTTTTATATTAATTACATTTAAAATATACCTAAACAAATAAATTAAAATTAAAAAAGAAAAAAAGCTCCAAGCTCACGGAGAACTAAGAATGAGCTCGGCTCGACTCTTCAGAAAGCTCGAGTTCGAGTTCGAGCCTTTGTCGAGCTATCCTAGCTCATTAACACCCCTACAGCTACTGCTAGTAATTAATATTCATAATATAAGGATACATATCTAAAATATTA